TACTGATACACAAACTTTTTATATTTTATAATACAAAAATGTGTAGTTTTATATTGAAAACCACAAATTAGCAGCACTGTGCATTTTGTATTTGCATAAACATTAAAATAATAGCCTACATCTACTCTGTCCATTGAAATAAATTAATGTACAGTAGTCTGCTATGTGTTTTGTAGATGACATAACTTTTTCAGACTACAAAAACACTGTAAACTGAAGTGCTCATAATTGTTTTTAAATGCAAAGGTTAAGCTATCTGGTCCAATATTCCCCTCCAGTTGCTTAAAAGAGCTTGTTTCCGAAAGAGGATATTATGGATGCATTGCAAATTAAGGGCAAGAGGAAGAGTCAAGCCTGCTTGTGCATGTTGTATTTTAAAACGTTTGGTATAATATAGGCTTGTAGGCCATTTCAGAATGTGATCATGCTGAAATGGGCCAATTAAATAGCAGTTTTTTCCAATGTTCTTTTTCCCCATAAGACACAGAATTTCAGCACATTCGGCTAGCTCTGAGGTTAAGGCAAAAACAAGTGCCAGCTCCACTACTTCACTGACAACGTGTATTGTTTTTACAAGAGTAGGTAACACTAAAAGCTTCAGTTTATATTATTGATAAGCTATTAGCAGGTTAGACAGACAAACCATTTTCCCATTTTGCATTGAGCTAAAAGTTAACTTGCCTTGCATTCGCTATGAAGTTGTGGGTAGAGATAATGAAGAGGACTTGAAGTGTTGCCCCCTATTGCAGCAACTTTGTTTCTGCATATTCTGCAGACAAGGTGACCATTTTTAATCAAGATGACTGCACTCTTCTAAAAGCCAAAATACAACCACACTTCAGACTTAGTCCTCTTAGCAGGCTAAAAAATCTCTAGAGCGCAGTCTTTTTCTGGAAGACTGTTGCTAACTTTGGTTGATGCTATATAGCATTTAACATGAGTTTTCCAAAGCAAACCACAGTGTTAATGATAATAAAAATGTAAAAACAGTAATACATCAGGAATTTTACCATGGTTCACTGTGAAACCAGTAACTATTTCATCCCTAATCACTAATTTTTATGTTTTTGACTGATATGATTACTTTTAGGTGAGGTACAAAATGGGCTCTAAACATGCAGCCAGTGGATTTCATTTATTTTCAACTTTAATGTAACATTTAAGCTGATGTCTTGTAATGTGGCAAAAATACATTAAGCTTGTTCACGTTTGTGCTTTCATTTCAGTGTCTGTGGATGGAATGGAGTGGAACGACGTGAAGTTTTTCCAGCTGGCGTCTCAGTGGCCCACTCATGTGAAGTATCTCCCAGTGGGTCTGTTTGGCTACAGTAAAATGGCCCCCTAGTGGTCTCAGCTGTAAAAAACAAGAGAGCTGACACTATAGCTGGAAAATATGGAGGGCTAGTTTTTTCTTGGTGAAGGTGAGACACAGGTAGATGATTACTTGAAGGCTCTGTTGAAGGAAAGAGCATATGGGGATTGCCTTTGTAATACACAATCCTTTTGCGCTCAAAGACAGACATCTGTGATTAGATATGACACGTAATCTTGTGTACCGTTACATTCTGCTGTGCAGTTAATAATGCAATAATATCCAAATATTGTATTTCTGTGGAATAATTCAGTTGATGTACTGTTCACTTGTTTTCAAGTTCAGTGACCGTGCTGTGCAGTTGTGGTTATTTTATATCAAAGCATAGTTGAATATAAATATATATACAGTATACAATATAATTTTGCAATATCATGGATATCATGAACATCTGAGGCTTAAACGTCTTAAATATTTTGTAAAAATAAAGGCCTACAAAACATTTTATGACAAAGTAGTATATATTGAAAATATACCAAAAAGTATTCTACTTTCACTGTAAAACTATTTAATAGATTGTCTTTTCCTTATTTTGTGGGTTCACTGATTGTGGTGGGTGTGTGTGTGTGTGTGTGTGTGCACCCGCATGTGCGTGTGGATGAGATGCTGAAGGTGTACAATGCACATTTTATCGTGTGTTCTATTTGCACGATTGGTCTTGGCTGCTATTGACAACTTGACAGTTCTTCCATTCTACTGTGGTCTAAATACTAAATATTGCTGTTCTTTGTACAGTAAAACTAGCTGTAATTTCCACTTCTTAGGTGTTTAAGTGTAATTGTAAAATGCCATCAGTCTCTACCTCCTTATCACATTACAAAGAATGATGATCCAAGATTGACAGTTTATATTGGCTGAAATCAACACAAAGCCTACAAAAACTCATCATTACATTCCAAGTGTCCTAACAAGTTTTTTTCCCCAGACAAAAAAGTGTAACGTACCATTATTGCCTTCGACATGTTCATTGTTGTATGCAAACTGGTGTTTTGCATGCTGAAATATTGTAATATTCTGGTATTGCAATTGATATGAATTCATAAGTTTTTATTATATTGTCACTTTTAGACATGTTGTCATCTTATGTGCACTAGAGACAATAAATGCATCCTTATCATGCTTTTTGTGCTACATTATGCATAAGAGTGGTTTTCTTTTTAATGACGACTGATCATAATTGTCAAACATGCATCCATAATGCACAATCCTTTGAGACAAAATCATATTTACCAACTCTGTTAGCAAATTTGGTAGTGTATTGCTGCACAGGGCTGATTAAACATTTTGGGACCCTTAACCGCCCAAGTAAATGTGAAAGTAATTAATACTTTATTTTGATCTGGAATCAATCAGCAAATGCAAAGGTGAACACACAATAATAATAGTTAACTATAATAGAAATGGAATCTTTAAAGGGCTCATATCCAACATTTTTCTTGTATTTTATTTTTTTCTCCCTGAAGTCCAGTTTTCACATATTGTGCCTTTGTGTACCAAAACAATTATTTTCCAACCTCTCGTTATCCTGTTTAAAATAGAACAGGATGGTTTTGTTACTGTGCTTTTAAGACTGATATATGTAAATGACCTCTGTTCTGATTTGCTGCCCTGTATTGTGCCTCATTCAAAAAGCAGTCAAGACTGAAACTCTCCTTATAAGGTCAACATGAATGGGTGAGTGTATGTAAACTTGTTTTTCGTGACATCACATAAACAATACATTTAAAAATTGCTGTTTTTGCAGTTTAGTTTCCATATATAGATGGTGTGGACTGGCGAGTGAAGGGTATGTTTTGAAAGTTTAACATTGTTTACATGCTATGTGAAGCTCTTTTATTTAAAAAAAAGTGAGGAAATTATTTTTTTTCATGATGTGAGCTCCTTAGACTGAATAAAGTAAATGCTAAAATATATTTTTTTAAGTGCACGATAGATTGTTGGCTGATATATTATTTCCTGGTTAATGGAAAAATGCAATTATTATTATCGGTTTGATATTGAAATAATGGCAACCTATAACTTGGCTTCCTATTTTTAGCTTGTGTGTCACACATGGTGGGAATTTCCTTTCTACTGGACTCCACAGTGACTTCTGCTGGCTTCTTTGAGTTTCCCTGTATGTAATATACTGATGTGAATTCTGACAAACAACAGTAATTGCACCAAGTTTTGGCACAACTTTTTGGTAAGATATTACATTTTTAATAAAAAAATGTCAGTGTTTAATTTGCTTCCCATAGGCTTGCTCATGCACAACCCATTATGGACCATTTAATGAGTTCAAATTGCAGCTCCACAGTTTTTTAAAAAACTATTTAAGAAAACAATGAATTATTCAGACCTCAGATATTTAGAAGGATTATGTTTTGATCTACTTAAACTCAAGGCATTCACTGAGATAGCAATAGGCTAAACATGTAGAAAATTATAATTTAGAATTTATGCTTGTATTGGGAGGTGACTCCGAAATGCTAACTGCAAAACTTGTGAAAATTCTTGGCCTACTTTTTTTTTGTGTGTGTTTTATGAATTTTTATTTTCATGTCACATTTCCAGTGCAGTCAAACAGTCCCACAGTAAAAGAACCCGTATACTTTTTGTTTTTAAAAGGACCTTGAAATGTATGTATGCACTCCTTAAATCATTCAAAAACCCCATTAGCAATTAATACTACACTGTACACTGTACCAGTTATAAATATAAATAATGTTATATTCCTTTTGTAACTCTTGTGCCCTCAATTGTTGTTAAATTTTCAATCCCTTTGTATGAACATAACACATTCTTTAGTAAAAAGAAAAAAAAGACAGATGAGTGAGAGGATTTCTGTTGACCTAGGTAACAGCGATGATACGGAGATGATGCGTGAATATCGTTAAATCTTTGTTTAGCTATGTGTTTTCATAGTTAATTTAGATAACATTTCATATCTTATGTGAATCAGCTGAACCTGTAAGCCTGTCAGATCTGCTTGCAGGTTTGTCTCAGATATGCCTTGGTGACTGAGGACTTGCTCAACATAACTTTGAGTGTCATTTAGCAGTCAAACTAGAGGCAAACAAATTAACTTGCAGTGGGTTGTTTCCCGTTTTCCTTTTATTTATTTATTTATTTATTTATTTATTTATATTGTTGGATATTTTTCAGTCTTTCAAAATACAGAGTGAAGTCATGGCTGGGCCGAGTTCTTCTATTGTGCAGAACCTGGCTGATTTTTAACCTACACTTGAGAATTTCTGCTAATTTATTTAAAATATCTACATCAAGCAATTTAAAGCATTAAAATAGTGAAGTAAAATAAAATGATATGTGTGATATGCCGCTGCTGCTTGCCAAGATTCTGCAATGTGTGTGTATCTGACACATTTAGATTAAAACAGATGGGTTGACATAATGATAAACAACAGCAGACTCATTTGATCTCCAAAGACAGGCTTAAAGGAACCTGAAACAAATCAATGTTCTGAAATGTCAGTCAGAAACCTCTGAGATAGGAAGAACATTCTCTCAGGGTGTGGGTATGCAGAACGAGAGAGAGAGAGAGAGAGAGAGAATGAAATGGAGCGTCTCTTCTTTTGCCACTCAATAACTCGATTATGTTTGCCCAGTCAGTGGGCAGCAGTGAGAGGAGCAAAGACACCGGCCTGGATGGAGGACACAGCACACAGATCCTCTCAGTGATGGGCTGCTCAGGATGCTGCCTGTTAGGGATCACCTGCTTGGTGTCTGTCTTTCTCCACTGTGGTGAGTTCCACTTTTACTTTGCTGCACTTTCTCTTTATATGCGTAAAAAATCAATTGAGATTTAATGTAAATAGAAATCAATTGACGTTTAATGCAAATTAGGTATTTACTAGGGGTGGGAATCTCTAGGCACTTCACGATTCGATTATGATTCAGAGGGCTGCGATGCGATTATAAAACAATTATCGATGCATCTTTTTTTCTATATAGCATTTCTATTTTCTCACTGTGTGAGCTCAAGTTTCGAGTTCAAGTTTCAAGTTTATTTGTCATTTGCACAACATGTCAGGACATTTATGCATTGAAATGCTTGTGGCGAGGCTCAGCTAATCACTCTACAGAAAGTAAATAAGTAAAAATAAAAATACAAGAAAAACCAACTGAAATATATTAAATACACACAAAATATATACAAAATATATACAGAATGTAGAGACAATATACGTTTTAAAGTGACTAAGTGACTCTGTGTTATTGTTATTAAAAGTGACTTGGTACTTTTAAAGCAAAGTATTTGTAATGATCCATAATGAATTTACTTCAAATATCTTTTTATTAAAACAAATGGAAGTGATGTGGCAAGTCAACTAGACGGCTCTCATTCAGTGCTCTTGTTTGGAGCAGGAGAAGCTGCTGCTACTCATCTGCGATAAAATGCACAGTTACGGTGAAATAAGATCCAGTGGCAGTGGATGTCCACGCAGCGCGTTACAGCCGTCCTGCCCGTTTTCTTTAGTGATTTTATAACTTCGGTTTTGGTCTCATTGTAGAGACGGGGGGGATCGCTGTCTCAGTAAAATGTCTTTGAGACGGGACGTGTGCAACATAGCGCGAAAGCCCTGTTTCACAACAACTGAGAACCGGCGTGCAGACTGCAGGTCACATAGCAGCGATGCGTTATTCACATTTATAAGCAGCACACCTGGTTTCTCGGTACGTTAGATCTGCAACGAGAGACTGTCAAACACTAAAAAGTGGCGAAGCTGAAGTCGCTTCTCTTTCGAATTCTCCCGTTCTAACTTAAATGGTGCCGCATTTACATTCGGCGCCTCAATTAGAATTTAAGGTGGAACGGGTAAATTCGAACAAGAAGCTGGAGAATGAGAAGTGACTTCAGCCTCGTTTCACAGTCGGACGTTGAGAGACTTTTAACTGATCTACTTCTGAGGAAAAGTTTTCTGGTGGAGATGGGAGGAAAGCGGCTATAGCTGAAGTTTAAAGCAGAGTGAAGTAAATCTGCGTTTTCGTTTATATTGTTTAGCCTATACTAGGACATCATCACATACTGAGACATACTGGACATTAAATGTTGCGGCTCCCAAGCTGGTTTAATTTTTGTTGAAAGGTCAAAATGGCTCTTCTTCTCATTTGTGTTGTGACTCCTGACCTAACCTGGCTTTTAACGCAGAGGGAACCGGTCGGATTTCTCACTCATCCAGTTGTGTTTTTGTTATGTGCCGCCACAGACTGTCCGGGCGCTGCACTTCTGCACTTCCAAGTTCCGCCTTTTGCGTTCCGTCAACATTACATTATAAATGAAATATTTAGAAAATCGATTTTTGCCGTTTGTGAATCGATTCAGAATCGTTCACGTCCGTATTGCGATGCATCTAAGAATCGATTTTTTCCCGCACCCCTAGTATTTACATTGATCCATTCAACAAATGAAGATCCGAGGAATGTTAGGTAGAGACACAATACAGAACCAAACCTCAGAGTGATTATGATTTAAAGCTCACTGTAGATTCATGCAATTCTTCATTCATTAGCAAGCACTAATATTCAATAAATACATAATATGTAGTTTTTGTGATTGAACTCAGTCATTTATGCACTAATTGACAATATTAGCTCTTAGGTTATTTGTGTGTTTGCACATAGTATGAAGCAAAATGTTTGAAATATTTTCTATTCAGGTCAACGAGCGCTCTTTTCAGAAGACATGGTCCCTATTGTTCTTTCTCTCTCTCTCTCATGCAGTGTGTTTGGCCTAGCTGAGGCTGTCAGCTGTAATTACGGCTTGATAGTCACTATGCGTTCCCACACACACACACACAAAGGGCCTGGGGATGGTGCAGTGTAGGGGGTGGGGCACATCATTACAGTAATGAGACATGTAGGCATGAGTGGGGACGGAGGAGGCAAGAGTGTAGAGAAAAGACATATATACATATTTATCGTATATTTTTTCAGTGCTTTAGAATTGGACTTTTTCTGTTCTTACCTTTGGTCGTTCATGCCTACATATAACCAGTGAAATCATTTAAAAGCTTAATTTATAATCTCCATGTTTACATATATATTTTTGAATGATGCAGGCAGTTTGTGTTCTCACTTTGCATTCGTAGTCATGGTTTAAAGTTAAATTATCTGTTCATCGGTCAGAAGTTCAAATATTTCTTATTTCTTCTCACCCCAAGTCGACACTACCTCATTCAGATGACTTGAAAGTGCTATTAACAAAGCATAGTTAGCTGTGCATTATTATGAAGGAAACAGTTATATGCAAAATATTGGGCAGCCCTGGTCAAGTGGCACGTTTTGTTGATTTTCTTAGTGAAAATAAGTTACTTATCCTCTACAGAGAACACATTTTTGTATGTTTTAATGCACAGTTGGAAAATATATATTTTTTTTTTTCAATATGTTAAATAAAAATTGTGCATTAAGGTTAGCAGAAAATGCCATGTTTAGGTTTATTCCCCGTAGTGGATGTGTAATTTATTTTCACTTAGAAAATCAACAAAATGTCTAATTTGATTGCAAACTTTGGAAAATAATTGTATATGGTGTTTGTGGTCTATGTGTTAACCTTAAGTGGAATGCATACCTTAGAAAGTAGTATGCGTGTTTAAAAAGCAGTATGGCAGTTAAAAAGGTAGTATGCATCCTGTGTGCATATTTAGGGTATACAAATTTACTTGCATTACTTTAAAAGGGGCATGAATACTAAAAAGTGGTATGCATCCTTAAAATGCTTCCTCCATCTATACTTAAAAAAGAAGTATGCATACTTTCAAAGTAGTCTATGCACATTCAGTAGTATGTATTTAAAAATGAATATGCATCCTGTGTATGTATATTTAGAAAGTTGTCATCTTTTTTTATGTACTTATAATTGTATGCATCTTGTATGCATATTTGAAAAAGTGCACAATATGTACACAATAAGCATGCACACTTTAAGCTTTCTTTAAAAAAATGAATGCATGCTAATATGACAGTATGAGAGTTTCTGGCTTATGAATTATTTGGCTATTATTTGGATATGCAGACTTTTTTCATTATAATTGAAATGCAATACTACTTCTAGGGCTGTACTGCAGAAATGTCCTATCTTTAGTTTAAAGTTAGAATCTGACAAGGTCAAGATAAGATTTTTCACAACTTTTACAGAATTTACAGAAGCCAATCTTAATTTAGGAATGATTTATCTTACAGCATCTTAAGTTCAGAAATCCTAAACTTCTCAATCGAGATTGATAATTACTCTCTGAATTATGTGTTACCAAGCAACTGACAACATGCGCACAGCGGAAATGTAAACATGTAATCGAAATAACACACAACCATGCTTAGTTACCCGCCAGACAGCTACTTTTGGAAAAAGAAATCAAAACAAAATTAAAGTATGCTGATTTGGAAGTTTGAAACAGATAAGAATATTGTGAATGTGCCTCCTGCTGCATCACCACTTTCCAGTTTCATTTTTTTAACTGCCAAAGCCTTCAGACAGCATGTGAGCTCCTCTTTATTTACTGCCATCGGCAGAATGTTATTTAACCATGATTTAACAGCGATATTCACACAAGAGGTGGGCAATATGGCAAAATGTAATAACACGATACTTCAGGAAGATTTTTTACAATACAGTATTTATTTTTTCTGACATCTGATAAGTTAAAACAGACAAAATAGTGCCACAATTAAAACTTACTATAAAACTATGAATACAATGATTTCTATTGAACATTTCACACACTGTGCTGTACTAAATCCAAATAAACAGGACTAAATATGTTTTCCCTATGAGCAACTATGTAGGTGATTAAGTCATTTTTATGTACTTACAATATCCATGATACGCTCAGAAAAGCATATTGTGACATATTGTGATGTAATTTATTACTATAACAATAAATATCGTCATAATGCCCAGCTCTAATGAACACATACAGATAATGAGAGTGAATGAGGGAGAGTCTGTCTACAATGACCAGGATCTGTGACACTGCTGGTTTGCAACATGAATTAATGTAACACCAGAGAATGTGTGGTGAGGAGAACAGCCACTCAGTAATGTCTCCCAGACACAGTGATTTGTATATAGAACAGTTCAGTAATTTTCTGAACACAGAACATCATAAAATATTTCAACATTGCTCTTATATTTTTAAGCACTTTCAATCTGATCAGCTCAGCAACCGAACAGCATTCAGTAGCAGTAGCTGTAATGCTAAGGTCCGAAACCTGTGTAAGTTTTCTTTGTTTTTTAATGGAATACATCCATCTACTTTCCAAAATTAAAGGTCCTACACAAATGGTAAGAAATATTTAATTTTTCTGTTTTTAGCCTGTTTAGCTCTATTTACCCCCTTTGATTTAGGACTCGCTTGGTGGCGCCTAGTGTTTACGGTCATATTTGTGATATAATGGGAGAAATAGGAAGTGGCTGGTTATAGTGAACTTGTTATGCTGTTATCTTTAACATTTTTGTTTAAATAAAACAGCATATTATGTACACTTAAAAAGGTAGTTTGCATCTATTATGCATACTTTAAAAAGTAGTATTTGTGAATACTTATTCAGGTTGCTCACATTTATCTGATTCACACATACGACTTCCAGGACAAAAAAATATTTCAGGTGTAAACACTAAGTTTACAGGACTGTAAACATGTACAATTTGACAACATAAGCTCTTTTCATACCCAGTAGATGACAGGGTTGTTATAGTTTTGAAATGTTTAATATTGTTTTTTTAAATGGTGCTTTCATGTGTAGGTGCTGTGCGTGTGACAGTGAGAGAGTCCACTCTGGAGGTGGTGCAGGGTGACTCTGTCACTTTACCATGCTCCTTCCTCACGACCATGCCCCTGTTCCGCCTCAGCATCATCTGGACCTTGACACCCTTTTTTGACCCAGACTCTCCTACACAGGTATGGCTCATCACACACTGGGCATGGACAAAGAATTGTATTGAACTGAATCAGACTTTAGTGACATTACGCAGAAAGCAGCCAGGTGTTTCACGGGAATGGTCAATTTAAAAATCAGGGCAAAATGGTTCAAAAGTCCATAATCAGGTTTTCCATGGCTGAAAGGGAAACTTCTTCAAATGAGGTGTGAGTAATGTGTGTACAGTTGACACACCTCTGGCTGAATTTGTAAGATATATAGTATTTTTAGAAAATGTATGAGAGACCACACAAAACACATTTTATTTACTGATAGTGCTCAAATGAAGTTACTGATCATCACAGAAATCTGGAGGAATTACATTAATCATAATAATTACTAAAATTATACAGTCAAAAGTTTATATACCCTTCGTTCTTAATCTTGTGTGTTACCTTTGAGCATCAATGACAGCTCGTAGGCGTTTGTAATAGTTGTGAATGAGTGCTGTTATTTTTCTCAGGTGGTAAAGCTTCCCACTCTTCTTGGCACAAAGCCCCGGGTCCTGTAAATTCTTTGGTTGCCTTGCACATTTGAGTTTTTCCCAAAGTAGCTCAATGTTGAGGTCAGGGGACAGTTAGAACCACCGCAGAACATTCACCACATTCCACCACAGCCACTAAAGGGTCTTGGATCAGCTACTAGGCTGATGCATGCCAGTTTTCCTTCAGGATTTGCTGATAATCTGCTGTTTTCATCATGCCATCAAGTTTGGTCAAATTCCCTGAGCTGCTGTAGCTCACAGATCCTCAAAACAGCTCAAGGCAAAACACCTCCATACTTCATGGCAGGGATGGTGTTTCTCCTCATGTGTCTTGTTGACTCCTCTGCAAATATAATGTTTATGGTTGTGACCAAAAAGTTCCATTTTTGTCTCATCACTTCAAATTACTTTGTTCCAGAAATCTTGAGGTTTCTCTAGATTTAGACATTCTGTTTTAAATGATTGGCATTTTGCAAGCGAGCTGTTTTCTGGTGTGGGTGCAAAAATTACTTTTTTGGGGACTAACCTGCCTTTCAGTTTCTGTTTAAGTATCTCCTTATAGTACATTCTGAAACAGACACACCACATAAACTTTTGACAACAGTATGTAAACTTGTAATTTCAGTTGATGATTAATATAATACACGTGAATTTCTGTGATGATAAATAGCTTAATCTGAGCAGTATTACTAAATAAAAGGAAAGTGTTTTGTCCAATCACTTATATTAAAAAAAGGTAAATATCTTACAAATTTAGCCAGGAGTATTTAACTTCTTAGCAGGACTCTATATTCTTGGATAAAAACATATGCAAAAGGTTACTGAATGCAATATAGGCCAGGATAGCATAACGCAACTAAGTACACTTCTTTTTTGGAAATATCGCTTAAATAGATGATTTAACAAAAAAACACAATTATGTTCTGGCCTAAATTATTGATTATAAAAATATTAAATCCATCCATCCATCATCTAAACCGCTTATCCTTCTGGGTCGCGGTGGGGTGCTGGAGCCTATCCCAGCTGTCATTGGGCGGAAGGCAGGATACACCCTGGACAGGTCGCCAGTCCATCGCAGGGCAGACAGACAGACATACACATTCACACCTAGGGGCAATTTAGCACGTCCAGTTGGCCTGACTGCATGTTTTTGGACTGTGGGAGGAAACCGGAGTACCCGGAGGAAACCCACGCAGACACGGGGAGAACATGCAAACTCCACACAGAAATGACCCTGGTCATCCGGCCGGGAATCGAACCCAGGCCCTTCTTGCTGTGAGGCGACAGCGCTACCCACTGTGCCACTGTGCCGCCTAAAATATTAAATAAAAAACTAAAAAAAAACTTGCTACAGGTCTTTTCAAACATAAAAAGTATGGTGTGTTGTTTTTCCAGTTATATTCCACTACTAGGAAAATAGCTTCTCCACTCACATTTGTGTGCTTAATTTAAAAAAAGATTAAAGTCATACCAGTAAAACCAAACTGAATTGTGATAACATTTGATCTGTGAAATTGAACAGATTTTTCCTAAACAATCGTAATTAATGTTGGGAGGTCAGACATTCACACACTTACTTTTAATGTAAAGCTATTTTACCTGTCCTCCAGGTGATCGTGTATGACCAAGGGCAGGTGATAGAAAGCCCCGCCTTCACTGGCAGGGTGGAGTTTGCTGACATGCCCTGGAGCGCTGATGTCATCCTCAATGATACCCGGGTGTCTGACGCTGGCACTTATCGCTGCGTGGTGAGCAACCCACCAGAGACAGGTGACCCTGGCATTGGAGAACTCAGCCTCAGTGTCCTGGGTAAGAAACACAAGCTGCTCAGCCCTTTTTTCATCAGTGTTGTGAAGATGGTCTGATCCATGCGCTGATTCATGCGTTCATATTCCAGACTGTCTCTGCAACGTCTCTATTTTTAGCATGAAACAGCCAGAAGTCATCCAGCATGCATACTGAGAAGATGATGGCTGACTACAAAATACGTCTTCCTTTCTTGATCTGTGAAGCTGCATGAGCAATTATATACAGACTCTGGCTCCACTGCATGATCCTTTTATTTCTTATGACTGTCAGCTTTTTCCTGAGGACTGACTGTCACTGAACACCTCTACACATTAAAGTGTATATGCAACATATATGAATATATTAAGGCACTGAAGGTGATAATTCTATGAAAAATCAGATTTACACAGTTTTTAACCCCTATTTTTATTGTAAAATGGTAAAATGCAATTTTTGCTCATTTGGTACGTGATTTTTTAATAGTAAGAAAGCTGCAGTTCTGTTGTCCATTTAATCTTGGCACAGTAGTCTTTGTGGAGAGGTGTGAATTGTTTCCTCATCCCTTCCCTTCATCCTTCATTGCTTGCTAGCAGCTCAAAACAGAGTCACAACATTTCACACGTAGGCAGAAATAAATTTTTGGGTAGGCCTGTGAAAAAAGGGTAGGCCAACTCAGTGGATATAATTTCCAAATGCATGTTCTGCAATTCTTAACATAAGGCCATTGGCTATTACTGACAGCTGTGCAGTCATCACCCTACCTACTCCATTGCTTCCCCCCTATGGTGATACAACATAATAGCAATCAACCAGAATTGCTATTCACATAAACACAACCAACACCCTTCATTATAAAGCATGCCTCCGCTTTCCACAGATACATTTGCCCAATCAAGACAAGATGACTAAGTTAAAATCAGACAGCTAAGATGTACAAAGATGAGGAAAACAACACAGCAACGGCAAGCATGAAAATAATAAAATATTAATGAATTTACTTGAAGTTGAATACATGAAGTTACTTGACTTTGACGAGTAGGAACAACAATGTTTTATTTATGTATTTATTTGGCTTTGAAAATTCTAATAATTTCATTGGCCATAATACAATGACAGAACTCACAGAAAACAACTGTCCTAATTCTGTCCTAACTTGATTAAGGGGGCCAGTGATCAATCTGGGTAGGCACAAGCCCACTCAGGTCCACCGATGGCTACGTCCACAGAGAGCCAACAGTGTCCAACTTAAACTGATACAGTTATGGGAAAATATTTAATTTGATTGTATTGATTTAAAATATGGCCACTAGGGGGCCCAAAGAATGAGGCTGCACAAGGCAAGCTTATATGATATAAGCTTCCATTACAGTTAGTTTCATTAACCTCATAGCTTCACTGACAAAAGAAGGAAACTTCACAAATGACTAATTATGTCTTGGCTGATGGACTTATTTGGAGGAAAAGGGAAAAATTCTGTAAATTAGATTTTTCTCTTTAATGTATTATGGTGTCTCTGCTCTGTTTGTGTTTTCACAGCACCCCCATCCCTGCCTGTCTGTTTGTGGGAGGGGGACACTGATGCAGGGGGCAGTGTGACCCTGTCGTGTGCAGTGGTGGAGGGGGTCCCGACTCCTCAGATGAGCTGGGAGAAGCTGGAACCAGAACAGATCACTCTACCTGTCAACATGGAGGGTAACAGCTGACCAGTACATTTCCATCATCAAAAAATAGATCTATTCACTCCCCATTCTGTATGGTCCATACATGGAAACTAAGATGCAAAAAGAGCCTGTACTGAATTCATCATGGTTACGATGCTCCAACCACTATAACATTTACATATAACTGCTCATTCAGCCTACAGCACTTCACAATGAAGTGATTAGGAGAGATGTTTCCACTGACGATCTGTAGCATAGTTAGTGGAGTGGAAGATGATGATGAAACAAGCATTGTGCTGTACCTGACTGTCAGGAAGTGTATTGTCATTGTTGGTAACTTCACAAGAAAAGAAAAAAACCTTCCCAACTGTTAATTGACCTTAAAATGACAATTATTTATTCCAAGAAATGTTGGATTATTTCTAGTAGTTCAGTCATCATAAAATTTTGATATAGTATAAAGGGCTGCTGGAATTCCCAAAATTATATAAAAAATGAAAGAGTTTTGTATCATTTGTATCATATTCCAAACAATCCAGACATCCACAATGAGTGTCTTCTTTCCAGCATCCCTGAGGATTTCAGTGTGAACTTAACAATTTATTCCACTCATTTTGGCCTGGACTGATTTTTGAATGAGACAAAATGCACAGCAACCAATCAGAGCAGAAGTCATTTACATATATCTGTCTTAAAGGAAGAGTAACAACTGCACATTGGAAAATTGTAAAAATAACAATTTTATAATACATGTTTTTGTTATATAAAACTACACAAATAAGTACTGGGAAAAAATAAAATGCCAATAAAAATACCAGAAAGTGTACGATGTGGGAAAGTTTTCTAACTTGGCAAGTCCATGTCTGTATGTCTGTAGGTGAGCTAATGGGCTCGGTGAAAATCGTGAATGTGTCGGCACAGAACTCTGGTGTGTATCGCTGCTCTGTGACCAACGTGCTGGGCACTCAGAACTGCTATGTGAATCTTTCAGTGTATATCCGTGAGTGTCAGCCACCCCTCCCTATTCAGCCTACATGATTTCATTCAGATCACTGATCAGCTTTCACTTAATACTTGAATATACAGTGCATATAAATATAGAGGCATCATTGTCAAAGTGGCTGCAGAGCGCCCCCAACCCCACCTGCGTACTAATGCAGGTAATCTGCTTCATGATTAGAGACGTTCCAGTAGAGTTCCTGTTTTTTCTTACTATACGTTTTTAAAGAATACATGCACAGGATTTTAGAAATTATTCTGCCTTGTTTTTTAAAATTTAGTTGAAATATGTTCCTTACTGGTGAAACATAATAAACATCACATGACTATTGTGAGTTGTAATAATAATTACACTATTAAGTGGGATGCTTAACTTGTCCCACAGCATGTGTGCAGACTTGTAACTTATTTATCTCCTCTTCCTTAAGCAGGATAAAGAGGAAATTTTGAATTTGAAAATAATTGCATAATCATTATTAAGTAATACAAAAAAAAGTTGCAGGCATATGTAAAAAGCTTTTTATATTGCTGCAAGTGTTTATTTGCTCAGAAAAATATTAATATGAGAAAAATTCAAATATTTATGCAAGAAATATTGATGTTTATGTGTAACTACTTTCAAACCGCTCCTCATGGAAACCGATCACAAACTGTAGTTGTCATCTAATACCTGGTTTGGCTAATCAGTTCTTCACAATGTTAAATTAACATTTAATGGGGTGTCCAGGAGAAATCTGGAACCAAACACCTTTTCAAATTAGCTCATAAAATATCAACCATATTTTTGAAAACAAGACAATCTTGTTACTTTTTACATTTTTTAATGTTTTTTACATTTACTGTGTAAATGTAAAAATGTAAAAAACACTGTATGTACATGACATTTTTACATGCCAATCGTAAACTGAAATCCTGTTGTAATTTGAAATGTGCAGTGTGCAGTTTTTATATCTTAGTAACTAAAGGTTCTTTGAGTTTTCCTTATTTCATGTTCCTGTTTTTTGGTATAGTAAATGACCTGAGGTTTGAAGGTACATTTATGTTTCTAAGTGCAAATCTTTTCATCACCTTACTTTTTAATTCAATAAAACAAAAAGCCTCAACACAAGGTAGATGGAATCAGTGCAAATGCAATGGAATATGCCCTGCTAGAAAAACCAGCATGTACCAGTATAGCGAGTCACTGTCCACACCAGCATTATCGTCACCGTCGGAAACCTTGTATCTTCATTTTTTTTAAATTGCTTTTTCACATAATTTGAAAATGCCAGCTGGCCTTCACATTGTGTGAAAATTGAATGATGAGTGGACCAACAGCAATGTTCCATAGTTACTTGGAAAAAGATTTTACATTAACTTCCATTAAAAGCTAAAGATGATTTTCCTTCTCCTGTAAAGTTGTCATTTTGGAAATACAGGGTTTTGCTCTGACAGCTATAATATGTCGTTTTGGATGCTGGTCAGCAGCAAGCTGTTATGCTGGTCACCACCAAAAGCAGCATATGTTGTGTTTTGGACGCTGGTATGCTGATCAACCAGCGTAAACTAACTGGGTGACCAGCTGAGGTGCTGAAGTCCACTCCAGTGACAGGCTTTGTACCCTGAAGGATACTTTTTTCTGAGGGTGTTGAGTGTAAGCCATCGTGTAGCGCTGTTTGAATTTTCAGCGATAAACCCGCCTGTCATTTCATGGTTATTCTCCTGTCAGCTCACTTTATAGCAAACAGTGAACGAGTTAATGAGCGAACCAGGACGTTACATCCCTGTCTCCCTGTGCAGCTCCGGACGATTCCCCGGGAATCCTGCAGGGGGTGCTGCTGACACTCATCATGGCTCTGGTGCTGCTGGCTCTGCTGGTGCTGGTGCTGTGGCTCCACCGCTCGGCTCAGGAGAGCAAATGGAGGAACAGCCGTGAAGACGAGGAGTGCTACAACGAGATCAGATACACTCCCTCTCTGATTAAACGCTCTTTTGTCTGAGGAAGAGTCTTTTGTACCGGGACTGTTTTTGAATACTCATGTTTGGGTAGAGGACGCTAGCATTAGCCTTTCAGTTAATATACAAAACGTCCACTGATGTTTAATAAACTTCCTGCGCATCCTTCACCCTGTCTTGGCATAAACTTACTTAGTCAGATAAGTTTAAAACAAAATGACCTTCTCATGCTCATGATGATTAAAGGAATGGTCGGATGAAAGATCAGTTTAACACATTTTCCCCTTTACATCAAACGTAGTCAATCAACCAAAACATGTTTGGTGTCCAAAGTGTTGATTATGATGCTAATACGGCCAATATAGTAACCACTGACTGAGAGCTGTTAGCTTTGTTGCTCCACTCCAGAACCATAAAGGGGAATTCCACAACTTCCGGATAATCCAGTCCTTAAAATATAAACTTGAGATGTAAAAGTCATTCAGAGTCGTTTGACGTGAAATGGTTCATTGTAGAGACTCAGATTTCATTACAATGGTGGTGATGGGAACCAGGGGTCGCCATGTCTACAACACAAATATAATAATTTTATTATCCCAAAAAATAAATAAATAATAAATAAAACATCAATGAACCTACACGAGCCCTCTGAGTTTTATATGTGATGCTGACAATGTCCAAAAAAAAGTTTCCTTTCAGGACTACTTGGTCATACAACACCCTGCATGTACCCCTCCGCCATGAATGGATTAAAATAAATGAAATGAAATGCAGTTTCAGCCAAAACTCACTTCACAAAACTATCATAAAACAATGTCTCAGTCATCAATCAGCTTATATCACCATTTCATGTCATAACATTCTATGATGGAGCCTTCAGAGATGCCTGGTTCCTATCACCACCACTGTGGACAATTCTGACATTTCACACTAAACCACTCTGAATGGTTTTGTTTACATCTTAGCAATTTAATTATGTGGTGTTTTTTTCAAAAAGTTTCCCTATAAGTGAATGTAAACGTGGCTTATAGATTGGAGTTCTCCAGTCTGTAAACTGTGAAACAGATTAAAGTGGCTTACAGCACAGAGCCAGGTACAAAGAACCAGACCCTACTGTATTGAGCGGTAGAAATCGCTAATGATATTAAGCTATGAAATCAAAGTAGTTTTCTGATCACAAAATATATTTAGCTAAATATGCAGTTCTCATATCCTGGCTTTGCTATACACTGCCTTTTGTGTACGTGAAAATGCTTGGCCTTATTAAACCATTTTTTTGCTTTCTCCACATTCTTGAGACTGCAACTGATTTTTAGTTTAGACACAGACACAAGGCCTTCAAAGTAGAGGCACAACATTAATAAAAAGAAAGTACACATTTACAATGACTGCTCTGCAAACGATGACCAAAAAAAGCTTTAATTTAAATAGAAGAAAAAAAAAATCACATAAAAAACTGTACATAACTTTGAATACTGAATAACAGCTTTTAAATAAAACAATCCCCCATTATAACTAAAAGATGATTAAAAAAGTGGGATGCTGTACTATTTTACAATAGTTGTGCAAAAGCAGTATTAATCGATTTCCTTCCCAAAATGGATTGATTCAAAAGTCAGAGAGCACTCTTCCACACTCTTGGTGTCAAGCCTCTCCGTAAAGGGGAAATACAGGAACATGGCTCCCCTAAGACTCAAAGTAGTGTCTTTCTTTGAAAAATAACCAGAAATCCAATAATAATAAAATAGATTTATATATTTATATTTTTAAATATATATTTATATACAAAACATGCTGTACATAAATGGCAGAGATTCATTCAATCCCTTTTATTATTGACACCCAAGACTGTCCAGTAACTTGTGCTTGCCTTCCTCCAAATAAGAAAAAGAACTCCCTGTAGCTTTGGAAAAATTACTCAGAAGATGAGACAGAGGAAACAGAAATGGTCCTGATGGAGAGAGAGAGAAACATTTTTAGGCCTCTGCCCAGCTCTGACACAGTCAGGCAGCAGGAATTACAGTCAATAGAAAAGGGGTCATTGGCTGACCATTGCTTAGCATGTGTGAAACAGAGAAAACACTGATCTCTCCAAAAAGAGAGCATATTTAAGACCTGAGGAGGGCTAGACAATGCAAGCAGTGCCACTGACACCATCACCACAAACACAGAAAGTGGCAGACACACTGGGGTGGGGGGAGGGGGATTAATCTGGTCACAAAACTTCCCACCAAGAACAGAACGTTACATCTGTGTACTTTTCATGCTTGGAAAGAAACAGTTCTACAGCTGGATTGTAAAACTATTGTGAAATTGTTCAAATCTAACAATGAGAATTGTAAAAACGTTGCTGTGATAAACTGAAGAGTCATTCTATAACAATATTCGAGGGCATCTCAACAAACAGCGCTCAAATTTAAACTCAACAGTTCTGTCCAGAATTTTAAAGGGTTGTATTGAATGTGGTTACAGTACATGGAAATGGGCTTTTTGAGATTCCACATAAATTAGCATTGCAATACAAGTAATCTCTTAAATGCTAAGAATCTTATACACAGATTCACCAATTAGTTGCTGAGATGATCAACAAAGTTTTTTCTTTATAAATATACACCAAAACAGCTTACAACATTGTGAATGTGAGCTATTCTATCTGACCTGAATATCATCCCTCATCCCTTGGGAGACTTTCCTCTATTTTCGTTTGTGTAAGTCTTAGATGTGAAGCCCTAGTTGTATAGAGTAGTCAGGGGAATTAAGTAATGAGACTAAATCCAGGACAGAATTAGCAAAAATAAAAAGACTCTAAACCACCATGTGAATGGGCATCGTTCTGACTGATGCTTAACTAGCAATCCATCAGTCCCCTCCTGTGAAAACAGTTCACCACATAACAGTGTTCCATATATTCTCTTGTATTTCTTTGCTCTCTCATATCCTTTCACCTGTAAGGCACCACTTCCAAAGCCTGAACTCACTATGTAATGGCCATCAGGGCACTGTTTACTGTTGAGACCAGTTCAGAGCTGAAAAGTACAGCCTTGGCTGGTCATGCACAACAAAACAAACAGAGCAGAGAATATATCCAAACTAAAACATTTTCTTTGTGAAATTCTGAAGCTCTGTTATAGTCAGCATGACACCTTTCCACATTTCTAGCCAGAGGGTGTTGTGCTCAAGGTTCTTCATCTCTATTCTTTCCACAACAGCTAAGACCTGTACTTTCATCAGCAGTCAGCCAGTGCTTCATTCGCCTATTCTGGTGGGGATGGATCAATACAAGATAAAACAAAATGACAAAAGACAGTCATGGGCCCAATTCCAGTTAAATTAAAATGCAAACTAGATATCGTGAAAGAGGATGTCTCAAAAGGTCTCTAAGAGGGCAGGGCAGAGGTTACAGTTCAATCAGAGTAGCGTCACCTTTCCAGTTAGTATCAGCATGTCACAACCAGTCGCAACGACAAAAACACCCACTCCCTTCACCTCCAAACAAGATCAGCAATCCAATAAATATGTATCTTTGTTTAAATTGGTATATCTTTATTTGTGTTTTTTCAGTTCTTCCAACTAAAACGCTGGAGATTAAAAGTCAAAAGGAGCAGTAGTTTGGTTAGTTCTATTAGTAGTAAAGAGGATGATGCAGTAGCAGTAGTATCGCAGTAGGGGAAGCTGTACTGCAGGTGCTTGCTCACAGCAGTAGGAAAGCAACGGCCTTAATAAGAGGCAAAAGAACCAGCGCGGTATCCCTCCCACTACAGCAAGTCCAGAGCCCACTGGGTAGAGCAATGTCTTAGACAAGAGAAAATGGTCACTGGAAAATCTGTGCCGTCTAGATATAAAAATTGACGTGAGTAGGGGGAAAACCATACACCCTCATTCTGATGATGGTAAAATTCTCCCCTCACTGAACAGGACCACTAGCCTATCAGTGATCCTTGCATCTTATGCTTCAGTTCTGGCCCACCTGTTCTACTACCCACTGACACCAGGCCTTCTGTCCTCTCCTGAGTGGGCTGTAAACTATGCAGGGAGGAGCACCAAAAAGTCAAGGGAAGTGTCTGAGGTTACAGGTCTCAGACTGTGCATGTGTGTCTTATCCCTGAAGCTAGCTGACAGAGTGACCACAGGTTTGCACTGTTGGCTGTGACCGTGACATAATGGCTACCTAATGGGCATCTGAAATCAAAGTGCTGCGCTTTGTCGACCAGACAGCTTTTTGGAATGTGTGTTGTATGGGATAGAGGCGGGAGAGGGGGGAAACTCAAGTCCTTTGTTGCTTCAACAGCAAACTGCAGACACAGGCAAGAGGTGATTACATGAAGTGGGGTATCTGACTCTTAGGAGAGAGTAAGGGGGTGGAAGGGGAAAGATCCACATCTGAAGTTCTGAAGACCCCAATGACTCTACTGGTGCCTAACAGCACAGGTGGATGAGAAGTAGGGAGAGAGAGAGAGCGAGGCTTGAGACAGCGGTCATTTGCTACAAAAGTCGTCAAGTTCCCTTTTTGTCACTGTGGTTATGAGTTGAAGAGAAAGATTCTTAAGGTTTTGAGAAATCTTCAAACACCCATCATTACATGGAGAAAAGTCTTTAGGATTGCACTGGCTTGGCTTTTTGGCTGGTAAGCCTCGAGGCCAAAATGGTGACCAGAAGCCCCATCAAAGGAACCACACAGGTTCATGACAAAACCTGGCCTTACAAGAGTGAGACCTGAATGCGAGTTTTCCATGCAGCACTCCTTCCTAGTGTGCTCCCATATAGGAGTAAGACAGCTGTAAAACGCTTCCAATAATATCCATGACTTCAAAGGCATGAAGCACAAGATCAACGAAGGGATTGAATAAGTCAGCTCGACGTGACATGAAGAGCTCCTTTCAACGCTCTTTATTGGCTTAAAGAGGACGGCTAGAGTGACCAAGGGCTTTGTGAGAGACTGGCTCCACATTCCAGCTTTACTTGGTCCATGCCTAGTTGTGCAAGTTCATCTCGGTGCAGGCTCAGCGCAGGTGCTCAAGTAAAGGCAGCTCCGTAGACTCCTCCCGTACGCCGGGAGAATCTGATGTAAGGGGTGTGGTCTCTGTGGGCATGGCAACCCCCACTGTATCCAGCGTTGGGCTGGCTTCAGTGAGCGGTGCAGGTGAGACAGGCTGGAAAGCCTGGGAAGCCTGGGAGATACAGTCGAACATTTTAAATTATTTATAAGTCACATTTAGCATTTTCCATACAGCTTAAGTGTCATGATGGTTTAGACCAGCCAAATTACAAGTACATACTACTTCATGATTCACTACTTGCTCATTTTGTTGAGTAGAGCCTTTGTAGCATTCTGAAGATTCTCCAGCAGGGGACACTATAAGCATGCATGTTGACTTGTATGCATCATTTAAAGTACGAGAGGCATTTTTAAAATAAATGTTGTGTTACTCAGTATTATAGTATTTGATCTGTGATTTTGTGGTTTTTAAAAATGAAATAGAAAGTACAGTGCTGTGAACAAGTATTTGCCCCTCACCTGATTTCTTCTATATCTGCTAATTTGTCACATTCAAAAGGTTTCAGATCATACAAACTAATTTTAATATAAGATAAACAACACGAGTTAACACAAAATGCAGCTTTTAAATTATCATCCAATTTACTGAAGATAGATTTATTCCAAACCTATAATCACCCATGTGAAAAAGTAAATGCCCCCTACACCTAAAAACTGGTTGTGCCGGCCTAAAGAAGCCACCATCCACCTACCACCATGTTTGACTGTTGGTATGAGGTTCTTATGGAGGAATGCTGTGTTAGCTTATTGTGGAATTGTGTACATTGACCTCAACCAAGGCAAGGGAGGCCTGCAGTCCTTCAGATGTTCGTTTGGGTTCTGATCTCCTAGTTGAGTTGTCGATGCACTCTTGGTGAAATTTTGGTAGGCCGGCCTCACCTGGGCAGGTTCACCACCGTTTCTAGTTTTCTCCATTTGTGAATAATGGCTCTCACCGCCTTGGCAATTGCTATGTAACCCTTTCCAGACTGGTAGGTCAGACTTTGTTTTGCACCTGTATTTGAATCTCTTTAGAACGTGGCATCATGTGCTACTTTTTGAGGCCTTCTATCCTGCTTCACACTGACAGACAGGTCCGATTTAAGTGATGTTTAGATTCAACAGGTCAGGCAGTAATCATGCCTGATGTGGCCAGTGAAACTGAACCCAATACTCAGTTGAATTTGGTTAACTGGTTGACTGAGTAGCTAAAAGTTGAAAGGTTACTTTTTCACATTGGGCCAGGTAGGGCTGAACAGCATTCTTTCAGTAAATGAAATCACGATTTAAAAACTGCATTTTGTGTGTATTTGTGCTATCGTTTTCTAATATTAAAAGTAGATTGATGGCCTGCACAAAATGAAAAACTGGAAAAGGGGCAAATACTTTTTGACAGCACTGTGTATCTAAGCTGCAGCACACCTTATTAATGACAAATACAGGTGAGTATTTAACAGGATGCCTCAACACAGATTTCGCAAATCACATTAAGTAATCTTAAAGAGAGTTATTTTTTGTGGTTTCTGACATACTGTTATCTATATGGACACAAGTTTGTTGCATAGCTCAAAACAGTAATAGCAGCCACCATGAAGCCAGATCTTTGTGATTTTGTTCATTTTTTTTACCAATCATCTTCACTAATCACACATCGACACATCTGTACTGAATGTATGAATACAGAATCAAACCTGACTCAAAGTACATCAAAAATACATTACACTGAAGTTTTAAAAGGAAAAAAAAAAATAGGTGAAGACTGAGAAGTTGTCTCTCCTCACCTGAGTGCGGACGCTCTGAGATAGCCCTCCATCCCCTTCCATTGCTGCTGGCCCATTGAAGCCTTTCCTGCCTGACAGACTCCACTTACTGTAGAGGCCTTCATAGGGCAGCCCGCTGCCCTGGCCGAGAGCCAGTCCCAGGCCCCTCTGGGATGCTCTGTGGCTGGGGTTGTCCTGCAGGCTGCCCGGGCAGAAGCGCTCTGCTGGTGGCAGGGCCACAGAGCTGCTGAAGGACAGCTGTGAGCTGGACAGGTGCTGACCCAGCAGCCCCTGAATGGAGGAGGTCCGGTGGAGAGAGTTGACAAGGCTGGCATCCATCCTACCCTCTGACTGGCTAAGCAGGGCCAGTGGGAGGGGCTGGGAGTGAACAGGCCAGCTTGGTCCTACGGGGTTGTCAGTTCCTGTGGACAGAGGGCAGGGGTTCCAGTATTCAGAGCCTGGTAATGTCATATGAGTCACCTAAAGACTGTTAACTGTAGATAGAGGACTGGACACCATCTGAAAGGGCCCATATTATGGAGAAGGATTTGATGTACTTTTTTTTAATGAGGTAAATAAATGGCAGCTTGTTAGAAGAGAAGTAATTTACACATCAGTTTTAAAGGCAAAGTAACAAAGGTCCTGTTCATTTCAATGAGAAAAAAAAATGAATAAATTATGTTGAAGTTGCTGATTATACTTTGGCTGTGTTGCTTGTTAGCTGCTCATTACACATTTCCAAGCGACATATTTATTTCAACAAAGGTTTTTTTTTGTTTTTTTTTTTAAAAAGATGCATTTATTACAGTAAGCTGATGTTGGCTTAATACACACCAGCTTATTTGAATTTTCCATTCTCCACCTTAAATAGCACCTCAAACATAAAACGAATTTCTAACAAGAAGCTGGCGAATACAAAGCTAACATCAGCTTACGTTAATAAATGCGTCCTTAATCAAGAAATACCCTAAACTTTCGTTTGGAAAAGTGTAATGAGCAGCTTACAAGCATCACAGCAAAGCCATAGTCAGCCACAGGAGCTGCTGGACTGCTAAACGTGTCTCACTGGCTGAGCTAACGCTGCATTCCCAAACTCACACTGCTGTACTTTACCTACTATGCTAATGAGTGCACTTCTAATGGTATATGCACTATTTTTGCATACTATCAAGTGTGCTTGTACATAGTTTGGGACAAAGCAATAACAACGCAACAGGAAAGCTCAGCCATGTAGATTTCAGCTTTCATTTATTGTCACTACAGCAACAAATTAAAGAAAATATATCACTAAATATAAAACACTCAATTGCATCGGTTAATATGTTTTAATACACAGTTTAAACATATGTTTTAAAGTGAGTTTTCTGAAAAGAAAAAAAGTTTTACTGCCTTTGCTCAATCGGTTATGGTTCTCTACCCCAAGACAAACCACCATTGCATTGTTGTGTTGCCTACCAAAATGATGGCAGCCTGATTGCATGACCTCAATGGAATACTGTGAAACAGAATGTAGAATATGGGCCTTACCCATGGATGGTTGCACAGTGGTAAGTTGTGATTGAGGCACGGTGGGTGCAGAACTCTGGGGAGGGTGAACTACAGGATTGTTACTGATGGAGGTAGACCCACCACCACAATCAGAGTCTTCGATATTCCCTCCGCTGTTGCAGCCAGCGCCACAGCCTTTTTGAAGCCTGCAGGAGAGATCAAAGAAGGTTGGACCTATTAATTGTATATCCTCCAACTACAAAAAATGTCTATACACTTTAATATGTTTTAGAATACTGTGGGTTAGTTGCAACTGACTTACACCATCAGGAACACATTACTGCGTAAGTTGTTATGGTGGACTCGCTAGACATAAATGTGGAATCAGTTACTGTGCCGATAGACTTAAGTGTGTCTCTAACCTGTCCCAGCTACTGATGAACCAGGTGTAGATGTTGTGGGGGCTAACGGGGCCTCCCCACACAGAGCGGAGCTGGGTGTGGCCTCCAGCGTATGAGGTGGTGAGAGGGGAGACATAAATGGGGTATCCGATGGGCTGGTCACAGGATGAATTAATCATGTTGCGCAGTGCCTGCTTGGCATTCTGGATGCTGCCCCGCTCTGGGTTCCGGTTCCGCAGGAAAACCAGCTCCTGCTGCTGCCCAGCCCACAGTCCACGTACACACTCTCTGTTCACCTGCAGACAAGAAGAGTTAGCATTAAGAACACATAATCTACATATGAACAGCTAAGACTGCCGTTGGGCAACAGTCACACACCCAAAAAAAGCTGTTTCATAAAAAGTGTTTTTGAGCACTGACAGGAGTTAAGGTGCACTAAAGCTACATTTGAACTTGCGGTGATTAAGTATGGTTAAATTGTGGTTAAACTGTAGATGTTTTGATGCAGTGAAGTCATCTTAACAGCATATGTTTGAAGCTCAGACAGAGTCAATCTGTATTATTTGAGTATGGACCTTGGCTACTGTGGTTACTCTCTAAACAGTTACAATATTATTTTAATCATGACTACATTCTGGGTTTTCTTTTTGTTTGCAGCAGTGATTGTCATTTCAAAGAAGCTTTGGATTTGACAGCCTGTCTTATGAGTCAGACAACTCTTGCAAACATGCAAAAAGAAATTCCAGCTAATGACCACATGTTAAAGTCTAAACTAGGGATGTAAGTAAAATACAAGTAACAGTTTTGCTTCTCGCCTCTCTTTTAACAACAGTCTCTGTAGCTCAGTGACAGCAGGAATCACCTCTCATGGTTCCAGTTTTACATCTTGTTGGGAGTGTTTTCTTTGGCTGGTTGAGCTGTAGTAGAAAGCCCTCTAAAGCCAGACATACACTGTGATTTTACAAATCTTCTTCTATGGTGACTCACACTGTATGTTTGAATAGACCATTGGGTACAGGCAAAGACTGCAATTATTACATGAAACACAGCCGCAGACAGCTCTGTCCATGAACAATTTCAAATAAAGCTGTTTCATTCAAAATAATACGCTGCACAGTGAGTACTGAGCAAAGAACCTTAGCAGCGCAGCTAACACTGAGCACTGAAGCAAAAAGCCAGGTGGTGATGTACACGATGGGCCAATACGAAAACGAAAACCCCACCCATCCACACACACACACACACCCACACACACACCCACACACACCCACCCACACACACCCACACCCACCCACACACCCACCAACCCACACCCACACACACACACACACACACACACACACACACACACACACACACACACACACCTTATACCTCGCTATTATATTCAGTGAAACAAAGCCAGGACAGATGGACTTCAGTAGGAAATGCTGACTTTCTTCCATCTTCCATCTAGTTGAGCTGCATGTCTCCACCCAAACTGGGAAAGCGGTTGTGTGTTTGTGTGTTTAAAAATAGGATAAAAACATACAATGGGCATTCCTGGCTGACAGCTTTATGTTCGGCTGTTACAGGGTCAGTAAACCGTTTCTGTGTGAGCAGAAACTCCTTCACTGTATTCTTAGTGTGTGGTAGTGTACACTCGGCTTACATCACAGCTGGTATCAGAATGTTGGTACAGGTGAAATTTTATGAGTATGAGTAAGAGTAAATGACCGCACTTTTTGCCAGATATCCGATACCAGTATCTGTATCGATGCTTCCTTAGTCTAAACCCACAAATATGACCCAACTGAAAAGTAAAATGAATGTGACTAGAGCATTAAAACTAGCTGTAACAGAGCAGCAACGGGCACCTTGATGACTCGGAAGCTGAGGAAGCGCTTGTTTAGCATGATGATCTTATACTCGTCGCTGCCATCATCCATGACATGGCGCAGGGCTAGCAACGAGGGCATATTAGCCAGGATGGCGCTGCGCCACACTGGATCACCCTCATGAGAGATCAGCATCTTCTCCTCGTTAGCTGTGATAGCGTCGTACAGCACCACTGGATCCTCATACTCATCTGGAGAGGTGAAGTGGTCCTACACAGAAAAGAGTCAATGAGGTCATTAGGGAGGTATAAATTAGGCATTAAAATTGTCTATAAGAAAATAGAGATTATGAGCCAACATAATTTCCATCAACAAGTAATGCGCATGTAATATTTGAGTTTTTTTCAGTTGCTAAACATGTTTGAGAACTTAAAAATGTATGTACTTGTATTAGTTATAGCTTGGGTCACAGTCAGTTTTTTTTTTTTTCTTAGCTCTCTGGCATATATATTGAGCACTTTCCTTCCCCAGTACCTGCAAACCTATTTTTGTCCAAGCTATGAATAAATTGCAGCATTATCCCAGAAACCTAATTTAAGAAGGATGGCAGTGTGGGCTGAGGGACAGCTGAGCTTTACCTGGTGCAGTTTGAGGGACATGCGCACACCAGGTGCCACCACCCGATTCAGCAGGTCCATATCTGCAAACACCCACTCATCCCTGGGGGAGGTGATCCGGAAGTCACCCTTGAACAGAGCATGGAGCCCATAAAGAAACGGCTCCAGGCTGCCGGAGAAGGCAAAACGAAGTTAGAGTAGGACAAGCAATTTCTGTAGTAGAAAGTACTACAGTACATCACCACTCCAATTCATTTATCTTCTGCAAGACTTAAAACACATGCTAGAAATTTCACAACTATTAATGTTTTACCTGGCAGACATGCTGTGGGAAGCTGTGCCCAGAGCTCTGCGGCCCAGAATGCAGAGGCCAAAACAGAGTGTAACCAGAGGGGAGTCTCTTTCACTATCAACAGGCTACATACAACAGCAAGAGAGAGGCAGAATGAAAAAAGAGGATGAGACTCCACATACCCAGATACCAAACCAAAACATTAAAGAAAATGAACTAATTAAAAAACAAATAAATAAATAAAAAAACTGTAGAGGAGAGATCTTGCTGACCGTCTGTCTGCGGCTATTGCAGTACTGGATCCAGTCCAAGTAAACCATACAGAAGGAGGTGGGGGTAATGCCAGAGGCTCTGTGGTCGTAATCTTCATCAATGTTCAGGTTGAAGGTGGGGTCACTGTCTACATATGAGGCACTGAGGCAGGGTCTTAATGCCTCTTGCACCGTCTCGTTGGCCAACCACTCCTCCAACTTTGGCGAGCGGCTCACATAGTAGATAATACTCTGCAGTAGAGAGTCTCAGTTAATTTTGTGGGACAATGAACAACATACAAGGCCAGCCAACTTCTTAGAGTACCTCTAAAATACTATATCAAATCAAGTACCAATTGCAAATTAACTTCTGAGTTGGGATCCCCGGCATGATTAATACACTCAGCAGTACCTTGACATAGTAGGTGATGAGAATCTTGCGCAGGTCAAACACCTGCAACATAGAGGCAGCGTTGTTGTCGCTGATGCTGTAACCTTCAAGGACATACTTAGTGGCTGCAACCTCCCAGGCCAGCCAGCGTTGGCCAAAGGCGGCATTGAAGGAGAGCATGTGGGGCAGATGACCAGGCTCACAACAGCAACAGCCTTCATCTTCCTCCACACCCTCAGTGATTGCCTCAACCTCCCGCTGCTGACAGTACGTACCTGATCACACACACAGGGGAAAAGGGACTCAATAAACGAATACACAAACTTTTACAAAACAGTCAGAGATACTTAATCACTAAGTGTAAGCAAGTTCTAAATAACATTCCTAAGGATAAAACATTTGTAATTTGTAAGTTATTTTAACATTGTGATTCCAGGTCTACACCCTATACTCAACAGACGCAGCTCACCCCTGAATTCCAGTCCTCTGAGCTGGAAGGTGACAAGGCCATTGCCAATCTCAATGATGTGCACAAGGGCGTTGAGGTAGTCAGAGGCCAGGATAAAGCAATCCCCCGTGCTGTAGTTACCCCAGCGGCCCAGCAGCAGGTCTCCACACAGAGAGTGCTGCAGTGAGCGTGTCAGGTGCTCATAAAAGATGGAGTTCAAGTTGTTGTCATCAGCACCTTTACATGGATGATTGAGTAAGTAAATACAGAACCAAGGAGAGAAAAGAAACAACCAAGTAACCAAGTTTTTTTTGAAAAACAAAAAAACGACTTAGATAACACCTAATGTGCCTGTAATGCACCACTCACCAGGGTTGCGATCAAGCTGCGTAGCCAGACGTGTATTGGAGTGATCCACCCTTTTGGTGCTGCAAAGTAACAGAATGAAGTTCAGTATGTATATTATTGAAAAGCACAATACAGGCTGATGCAATCACAAGCATCCACAGACTTTCGCTTAAAAAGTAAGGGCTTACTTGTAGTCTCGCTCCCAGAATTTGACAGGGCGGGTGTACGAAGTGACAAAGACAGCGCTGCCCAGCACAGGGTTGAGGGGAGTGGAGAACAGGGCAGAGAAGACTGCCTGTACAAACAGCATGGCAGAGTCTGGCAGCACAAAAGCTGCTAAGGAACACAATATTAACTATGAGCTGCAAAAATAGCAGAACCATTTAGCACTAGCTAACAGCATTTAGAAAGAAGCTGAAGCAACCTCTCTACACAGACTAGGCAAAATATAATGTCAAACCTCAGAACACAACACAAAATGAGCTCATATCAGAAATAAGCAATTGGACTAACTTTTGTCTCCAACTCTTCTTTAGTCTTTCTCTGAATGCTGTTACAGGTTTTGCAACACCATACACATAATTTATGAGCCTTCTCATTTTGACAGGGCTGGTAATGATATTGTAATACCAAGGTATTGTAATTAGCAAAAGTGTATAGTCATTTTTAGTTCACAACATGATGCATTTCATAAAGCTTCTGTTACTTTCTCTTTTGTCAGCACTAAACTGTTAAAGGCAGTAATAATGTGGAGGAGGATACGGGGCACAGCGAATGGCTGGGCGAAGGCATGGAAAGCAGAGCCCCAGGTAATCTGCCATGGGGCGATGTAGGTCAACACAAAACGCAGCTTGTACAGCAGATCCCACAGCTGTAGAGACACACACAATGACATTTTAGGCCAAGAAAAAAAAACAAAAAAAAAAACAAACAACATGAGAGGGGAAAAAAAAAAGAAAATGAGGAATCCAAACTAACATTTTGTTAAGTCAGATGCAATTAAGTTTTCTAAAAAGGAAGAGCAGTTTGAACCTTGCTGAAGAGGATGGACATGAAGTAGTAGTCGAGCAGAAAGGTTTCGGAGAAGCGTGGATAATCGAACTGGAAGAACAGGACTGTGAAGCAGAGGGTGACGTACTGCTGGGAGGGTACACAAAAGGATGAGCGCAGCAGCTTCATTCCAGCCACTGAGATGAACAGAGCTCGGCCACTGGACAGAAAGAGAAACACCACTTCTCATTATGAATTAACACGGGGAGCATACATTAACCCTATCCTACCCAATGCCTTGCCAGTGATGATCACTACATAAAAGAAATACAATAGTTTCTTTCATGTAAAAATAAATGCAACAAAAGAACTGAAAATCCTATTATTAGATGCTGATCAGTATATTTAAGGGCAGAAAAAATCTGCGTTTACATTAAAGAGGTCAGAAAGACCAACTACTCAGCCTGAAGGTTTTTCGAATGGAGATTGTTTTTCATTTGGTTTCAAGTGTGAGCGAGAAACTGGCCACAGGGGTTAAATTTGAATAAGTAGGGTCTTACTATGTGCCAGGCTTGTCAGGGTTCTGGCTGACACTATGGGCCTCTGTGGTCAGGGAGTTGAGCACCACGGCAGGGTAAATGAAGTACTTCTCCACGCACTGGAGCCAGGCATACAGCTTCTCAAACCACATCAGCTGAGCTGCATCTGCAACACATACGAACATCATACAGCAGCCTGTTCTGAGTGCACACACACGTGTGTGTGTGTGTGTGTGTGTGTGTGTGGATGTACTTACCCCGGACCTCAAACTGGCTATACTCGTGGGAGCGTAGCACAGGGTGGGCCAAGCAAAACCAGGGCAGCTGCTTGCGGAGTTGAGGCAGTAGGTAATGAGTGAGGAAGCCCACTACGCCGGCCAGAATATACAGGACAAAACTAAGTGCAGGCTAAGCAAGAGAAAGAAGGAGTGGAGACAGTTTAGGAATCATACAGTCACTAGGGTTATCAGAAGACTCTAAGTAGCATAATCCTGCATATCTCTCACTTTCATAATCGGAACCGCATTTCTATCCAAATAAACATTGTTAACACAATTCTAGGTACTCACTGACCTGCAGAGCAATGAAGACAGTACTGGCACTGATGGCAAAGGTAATAATGGCCATGAGAGGACACATGACCAGGTCTGAGTGTAAAATCTCCTTCTGTAAAAGAGAACAGACAAATATGAGGGTTTTTAAACCACTAATCTCTTTTCTCAACAGTGATAAGAGAAATTGTTGAAGTCTCTTACCACAGAGTTGCGCAGTTTCTCTGGCAGAGGGTCTTTGATTTCCAGTGGGGGCTCTTCAGGGGTTCGGCTTTCCAGCTCTGGGAAGAATTTGGAGCGTACTAATGACCTACAACAGACCAAGAAAAAATATTTAAGGAGGCACACACACAAGCATTTGAACGGGAGTGGTGTGTGCTCGGTCAGGAACTGACACTGACCACAAAATGGTGGGATCACTGCTTTGCCTGCTTAAGTGGTAGGACAAGGCAAGGAGTAGGCCGCAGAATACAGAGAAGAGTACTGGCACATGAGCGTCTCCCCACGGAGCCTTTACAGATATACACAAAGAACAAAAGAAGTTTGAAGTGAAAAATCAGCATGATTAAAAAAAAAATATATCAGTCCTGTTCATAGTTATCTCTCACAATGGTTTACTTACACTGATGGCACCCAGGCAAAATCCGTAAACCAGAGCAGCCACCAACACACTGCGTAACAGGCTGTAGCAGGAGGACAGGGGGCTTGTGGTGGCTGAAAAACATACAAGTTTTTAGACTAGCATAATACATAGGTTGTTAATCAGTGGGATATTTTTTGCAATACTGATATGGCAGAATGCTGCAAAGAAGCCCTCTAACTCAGCACAAAGTTTGAAATTTTGGGTTCTGAGCATCTTTCTACCAATCCCAGATCCCGGTGAAAGTTAAACCTGAAAGAGTCAAAGTAGTCATGTAATTCACTAAAAGTAAATTATGTTAGTCATGACAACATAAGCCAATCATACATTTTAATACATTTTAATATAATACAAAGCATATCCCAATAATACGATGCATCTACATAATCGCAATTTTAGCATTTTGTCCATACAATGCAAAGCAGGCCTAAGTTAGACTTAAAACGAGTACATAAACAATAATTTCTTACCAGTTCCACCAAAAACATGCATATCCACCTGCTCGAGCAGACACATGAGGAAGGTATTGACCTGAGGTAGAAGCCCAAAGAGGAAGATGACCGGGAAACAAAGGATGAAAACTGCAAAGACAAAAAACAACAAAAAAAGAAAAAAGAATAAGACAAAAAGGCCATCTCTGAATCATCTTACGGTTATGATCATCACGCACCACAATATGGCATAATGCATACAAAAGACATTGTTCAATTCTGAACATCTGTAGAAATGAACCAGAATCTGACGAACACTGAACAGACTGGACTGGCAGTTAAACTGACCTATAAGCATGTCTCTAGCACAGAGCAAGAAGTGAGCAGAGAAGAAAGTGACTCCATATAGGGAGACGGGCTGCAAGCTCTTGGAGTCGCCAGCCAGGTTAAAGACCCAGATCAGCACACAGCACAAGCAGAAGTACACTGGCCTGCTGTACACAATGATCCAGTTATGGCCCTGTGCAAAAAGAACATACAGCATTTAACAGACACGATCTTCTTAATGGCATCTGATAAAACTGTGGTGATTTCAGAGAGTGTGAACAAGATCAAGAGGGGCACTCACATGCATTGGAGAAGCTGCATCAGGCTGCACACTCTGGAAAAGATAGGGAGGAACACAAATTTAGCAGTCCCAACTTCAAAATCTTACCAGAATTAACTAGCAATCTTGCTTGTGCTCACTTTAAGTAAGGAGTACTGGCAGCTGGCGATGACTAGGCAGAACTGGAAGACCCAGATGTCCCTGAAAAAGCCCTGCAGCAGTAGCAGGAAGCCGAGGAAGGCCACCAGGCTGGCCAATACCACTGCAAACACGTTCTCCCCTACCCTGCGATTCCTGCAGCACAGACAGGAAAAGTCAGCTTATAGGAATAAAAAGACCAAAATAACAAAAGTAGCTAACAAAAAATTATAAGAGTCTCACCTGTCTAGTAGGGCCAGCAGGGCCAGTCGGTCGTAGCGCACTCTGAGCCACTTCCCTGGCAAAACCCAGAATCTGTAGTACTGTTTTGGCTTGGCCTTCTCCTCTATCATCAGTGTGTTCTCCTGAGATTCATGCAGGGACTCGTGATCCAGATCAAACTATATGAGGGGTGGTGGCATATTTCAAACAGAGGTGGGTATGCTGTAACGTCAGAGCATCTATAAGAAAATGTATGCGTGCGTGTGCGCATGCTCACCTCAGGCATCTCAAGGGGTACCCGGCGCACCTGCATGCCCTGAAGAACCACAGGTCTGGGCTGCAACATGGACAGCACTGGAGCCACATCCTGCACATCGGTGGAGGTAAAGCTAGAGGACTGCGACTGTCTTTCTCGCTCCCTATGAAACACACATGGTCACACACTGAACCACTTGAACTTGATGTAGCAATGTGAGAGAGGCTGTCAGGTTAAGACTTACTGCACTGGGTCCTCATAGCCTCCTCCCGCAGGTCCGAAAGTATAAGATCTTTTTATACCTGTGGAACAAGCAAATTCTTATGATGAATTGCATTGTGCAAATGTATCACACTCACTCATGAGACAAAACAGGACAACAACCCAGAGCAATAAATACTGCAAGTTTGCTCTTACCACTCTCGTCATAAAAGTAGTGCACTGCTCCCTCTGAGGTGTCATCAAAGGTAGATGCCTCGTGTACACCACTGCGCGGAAGCAGCAGTGAGGAAGCAAACTGCAGGGCAGTGGGGAGGGCCCGTGCACGCGAGTGGGAGGAGGCACGGGCCCTCTGAAGGTCCTGGAGGCTGGGTGGGGAACCCATTGCGGACGGGGGTGGGGTGGGGTTGCTACCCGCATTGTGTCTCCTGCGGATGGCCTGGGTCCTCTTCACACAACTCACCGAGTCTCGCTTACTACCTTCCTCAGAGGCCAGGGCTGCAGGGTACAGACACACCATTTGATTATTTTGGTACTATTCAGAGTGATTCTTAAAAACATAGCAAACACACTAAACTGAAACCATTTCCATGGTAGTGGCATTCATACACATACCCAAAAGTTTTTTGGGGTATTTTTACATTCAAAAAGTGCATACTTTGTAGAATATTATTACAAACCAAATTCCAAAAAAAAGTTGGACCAATGCACAACTGCAGTGTTAAATGCTAATAAAAACAGAAAGCAATCATTAGTAAACCTGCAACCTTTAACTGAAAACAGTACAACAGAACAGTTTGCTTTACATTATGAATTTCATTGTTTCTTTGTAAGTATACACTTATTCCAAATTTGAATAACACGTTCCAAAAAAATTGTGACAAGAGTATGTTTAACACTGGTGTAGACCACCATTCCTTTTAACAGTACTTAATAAACATCTGGGGACTGAAGACACATTCTGATCCAGTTTTGAAACTTTTTGCCATCTTCTGTTGTACAAGTCTCTATTTATTTGGAGTTCTCTATGTATTTGGAGTTCAATATAACACGTTTTTCATTGGAGACAGGTCTGAAAGGCAGGAATGCCAGTCTAGCACCTGCACTCTCTGATTACGCAGCCATACTGTTGCAACACGTGCAGAGTATGGCTTGGCACTGTCATGCTGAATTAAGCATATATGTCCCTGAAAAACAAAGCATCTAAAAGGCAGCACAGGACACGCCAAAATGGTGTGTTAATGTTGCTTTCACAGATGTACAAGTGACCCACTACCCTCCCACATGATGGAAGACCATGGCTTTTGAATGTGGTAACAATCTGGATGGTCCTTTTCCTCTTCGACCCAGAGGAATCAATGTCCATTATTTCCATAAATAATTTGAAACGTCGGCTTGTCAGACTACAACACACGTTTCCACTGTGCATCAATGAACTCAAGCCCAGAGAAGCTGGCAGCTTTTCTGGACGCTGCGGACAGTGTTTACTAACAACAGTTTTTCAAAGTTTCCTGAGCTCATGTAAAGACATTCATCACAGAAACATTCTAGTTTTGAATGCACTGCCAGCACCGTCTGAGGGGTCAAAGATCACAGGCATTTGTTTGTGGTTTTAGGCCTTGCCCTTTATGCACAGAGACTTCTTTGGATTCTCTGAATCTTTTGAAGACATTATGCGCTGCAGAGAGTGAAATACATAAAATCCTCGAATCTTTGATCGAGGAATGGTATTTTTTAACTGTTGGACTTCTGTTGCATTTCTGGCAAAGTAATGAGGCTCAGCTTATCTACGATAAAGCCTTTCCTGGAGCTTCTTTGATATATTGATAACTATCATCTGCTTAAGATATTTTTAGAATATTTCACAAATGTTTCTAGTCTTTATTCACAAAAAGTTGATAAGGTAAAACCTTAGATATCTTTGCAAAGTTCTGCTCAAAATACAGATCAATGTAGATTAACACATCACGGCTTTCTGTTTTTATTTGTATTTTACCAACTGTTCCAACCTTCTTTGGAATTAGGTTTGCATAATAAAATCGCTTGTTATGACTACCTTCAGACCATGCATTTTTACACCACTACAACAAAATCATACAACAACCTCCTGTGAATAATAAGCACTTAAAAGGAAAGATACCAAAGGCAGTCAACTTACACAATAATGCTCACAAATACATGTTATTTGTAAAAGTGGGTCTATCCTTACCTCCTCCCACAGCCCCTTCCTCCAGTAGCTCTCCTGCTCTCCAGCCAGTCTGGTTCCCTGCCCATGAGCCCCCCAGAGAGTCGAGCCTGTGGTGAGCCCTCGGGAAGGGCTCAGAGTGCCCTGTGCGAGCTTCTAAATCAGACTTTGAGATGGTGAGAGGCCGTGGGGCTGGAGTGGAAGATGCCGGTAAAGGAAGGAGAGTGGAAGCCAGAGTGCCTGTGCTGGTATGCCCACCACCAGCCCCATCCATGCTGAGCACCCTGGCGTGAGTCTTTGCGCTGGCGGTGCTGGCCGAGCGCTGGGCACTCCGAGAGTGAGAGGGACCTACCGAGTCCACCTCACTAGGACTGGGAAGCTGAGGGGGTGGGGGGACAGGTGGGGAGGCAATGCCGGCATTGGCCAGGTCAGGAGAGTAGCAGGAAGTGGATGAGCTCGAGTCGTCTTCGTCGTCGTCGTCTTCATCATCCGAGCTGAAATGGCGCTGGGAGCCCAGACTGGACCCCGCACTCATGTCACTGCCATCGTCCTCATCACTGGAGTCCTCAAACAAGCTTTCGCTGTATGCTTTGGCGCCCAAGCGGCTGCGCACAGGGATGTAGTCTCTGCGTTGGCCACGACTGTGACCGTGACGTCTACGGTAGGAGCCGCAGTCAAAGCTGCTGCTGCCGGCAGTGCCACGTTTGCGGGGCGCTTTCCTTCGGCCAGGCCGGTGGCCCACGCTGCCCCCAGCACGCAGGAGCTTCAAGTCTTTGGGTCGCACCACCTGTTGCTGTTGAGCCTGCAGGGAGGGGGGCTCAGTCAGCAGGTAGGCCGGCGATGTGACAGGCAGGGCCGGCTCTGAGCACACCAGCCCCAGTGCCAATCCTGAGGGCACGGAGCTGGCCTGCCGTGGAGGAGGGAGTGGAGGAATGGGGATGCCCCTGTCCAAGTCACAAGCCTCTGAGGGGCCACTGCTGGAGGGGGATGAGTCTTGAAGGGACGAGAGGGGCAGCTGCGCAACATCCGCAGACAAAGGAGGCATGTCTTCCCCCTCCACCAGAGTTCTGTCCAGGCCCTGCCCGGAGGGGAGCTCTTTGGAGGGCGAACGTAGCAGCTCGCTGTCTGAAAGATCGTCTGTGTCACTGCCTCCCAGGAAGGTGGTGTCCTCCTGCTGCTGGCGGGTGCCCTGACCCTGAGCCGGCGCCACAGAGGGAGGGGCAAGGGCTGGATTTTTTGGCTGGCTCAGTGAAGGGCTCTCCAGCTGGGTAGAGTCTGTCTTTTCACTGCGGTAGCTGCTGACCGTGCTGAGAGTTTCCCGGTCGGTGGCCACGCCACCACCGCTAAAGCAGCTGTCTGTGGAACCAGCGGCCAGCGCTGCCCCGCCGCGACTACCTGGACGTTCCGCACCAGGGGCAAAGGTGACTGGGTCGAGGCCCAAGCCCAGTAGGTTCTCACTCAGTTCTTCACTCAAGCTGCTCTTGATAAGAGGGCTGAGAGGAGCATCACCCAGGCTTTCTGACTCACCTGAAGGGCCGAGAGGGGAGTAGCCCCCCAGGTGGCGATCCTCAGGGATTCGCTGAGGCTTCTGCTCTGCTGCTCCATCCACTCTTCTGCCCACCACCATCGGCTCTTTCTCTTCTCCGTCTTCCTGACTGGAAGGGGAGGGGGGAATCGAGGGACAGTCTGTTGGCTGAAGGCTCCCAAAGGCTCCACCCACTCCCATGAGTGCAGGGAAATCCCCAGCCAGGGCTGCAGCCAGGCAGGACTGAACCACACCGTTCGTTCCTACACGGGCACAAGCAGCACATAAGCTCTATCTAGTTCAACAGATATGCCTCATTATTTGGGCAGCCTACAAGTTTAAACAATGGAGCAGTTGTAATTCTTGTCATTTTTTTGTGTTTACTCTGCACAAAGACATCCAAGGGCTTATTAATTAGCTGAAGAAGGTTTGTTAAAGCAGGACAAACACTAAAATAAACAGACAGGGGAATTTTAGGAGCAGGCTTGGGAATCGCAGCTATAGGTAGAACCAGAAACAGTGCTAGATGTGGTACAACAGTTAAGGTTCAAGTCTTACTGATTGTATCCTGAGAGTTGTAGCGAAGGACCTCTCTGGGTGTAGAGGTCACATTTTCACTGCCCTGCTCTCGCATCAGCTCTTTGATATCTGGAAAAGCAAAAATGACAAATTATTTTGATTCAGTTTAATTTTGGTTAAAAAAAAGTAGATATGAATCAATATCACTGATCCTTTAATGATCAAGGGTAACAGCTCAGTTGTGGTATCAGTGGAAGGAAAGAAGTGTTAAATATTTAACAACACATCACTCATGCACAGAAAAATAACTATAGATCCTATACTATAGCTTTGATAAAAACATAAGCAAAAAGTACCCTTAGAGCCTCCTTGGTCTTCAAGATGTGGCAAAAATTCCTAGGTAAAGACAGACCAAAATATGTGGCTTAGACCATATAGTTTAGAAACTCTGCAAAATTAAAACATCCAGCTGTAAAGGCTTTCAGTCCTCACCGACACTTGGTTCAGTCCAAACAGGGAGTGCTGGGAGCTGCAGCGCACTGGAGGAGTTGAATTTACCTTTCTGAACACAGTCATCTCTACACCACCCCCACTGTCCCTAGGGAACAGACACAGCAACATGAGTTCAAAATTGACTGCTAAACACCAACACCATCAGTTGTCTACAGTCTTTAAATCTGCTTTACAAGAGCAGTAAGTGATGTTTACCACCAAAAAAGAGAAGAGAAATGCTATAAAAAGTGATGTCATTGTCTCTTTTGAAGACAAGGAGATGAAGACTGAAACCGCTTCATAGACTTGTATGAACCATTTTATCGTAAGTAGGTGCAGGTCCACAAATGCGCAATGCCATGTTCAGATGACATGACAACAGTGGGGCAAACTCACCATAGAAGAATAACATTTGCATGCTTATTAGTTAAAGCTGCTAAGGCAATACTAGTCACTTTCCCATAGGTTATTCAAGGAAGCAAATTACAGTTGAGTGGTGAGTTTCTGAACATTGCAGAAATAATGAGTCTGTGGCAAGCAACATAAGACCATACGAAAACAAAAAAAAATGAAGGAAGAAAACTAAGATCAGCATTGACAAAATATCAGTGTACACCAAGGTTGTGTTTTCCACGTGAAAAGCCCTCATCAAGGACAGAGGACATCAAAGGAGTTGCTTAGTTTCTGCTAGAAAGTAGGGTCAAATACTTTATTTGTTGTCAGACAAAGTCGACATAACCCAAAAGTTATGCTGCTTGTTTTTTCAAAAGTATAAACATGCATCCAAGTATAATAGTATTTTGGCACTGCAATACACGCTAACAGCATTCCTGCTACTATCAAATGAAAAAGCTATGATCGAATTTAAAACAGAAATCATCCATACAACTCTAGTTTCCATTCTGCAACAGATTGATGTAATACTGTTTGGTCTTCATCTGGAAGACTACATAATTTGTGCTGTCAGTCTGACACACAGCTTCAACTGCAAGAGAGGGCAAGGATAGGTTAGAAAAAGTTTGATCTTAAACAAACAGAACTGCTGCTCGATGCATTTGGTAGCTGTCGCACGCTACATGGACAGATAACTTACTGTCTAAGCTTGCTAGAACGACCACCATATCAATTATTGACTACACACAATCCAAAAACAGACATTTCTTATAGTTGCCAGCTACCTACCTGTTTCCCACATCTTTTGAGTGACACCGATAACACAGCCACAGACTGTTGTTCCACTATCAAATGAGAAGAGGGCAACTGCCTCTCCAAAATAATCTCCCACACCAACAGGTGCCAGTACAGAGTGCCAAGAACGCTGCAATACTGGTTGCTTTACAAGGCAAAGAAGTAAATTGCTTACTGCTCCTTTAAAGACCTTCTACTCCCAGAAGTTCAATACACCTAAAGGCATAGCTCTCCAAATATGTAAAATTAGACTAAGAATAAATGAAAGCCAATAGGAAGCTGCCTCTATGATGAATTTGCATAGACCGAACTGACCTTTACTATTTTTCAAATACCTGTGTTGGCTGCCATCATGAGCTCCGGATCCCTCGTCTCCCTCCTCCACTCTCTGGGGGTCTGTGGTGAGTGAGGCCTGTCTCTTCTCCACGATCTCGCCCAAGTCAAACATGGCATGCAGGCGGAAGTTCACCACCTTAATAGCAGTGAAGAAGACAGCCACCACAGCACAGTAAGCCCCTGCTACCACTATGCTGGAAGGCAGTGCCTGGAGAATGACAGAAAAGCAGAACAAGACAATAACAAGTCAGGAGAAACTATTCATTTACGATTTCAAAATCAGGATCAAAAAAAACACTGCTAGACATGCTTGTGCCAGCCTACCTAATTATATTATCAAACATCTTAGAGTTCAAACATATGATTTAATATAGTAACCGGTTAAACCGGTGTTGCTACAGTTTTGCTACCGCTGAAGAGTTGATAAAGATTTGACAAGGCTTCCTCTTTCAACAGACACTTCATCTTCATATTCAAACACTAATTAAAAAGAAAATCAAGAGACTAACCAAATACTTTAAGTGACAAATTCTATACAGACTCAAAACTCATTGCTACACTGCTTTCTGCCAACAATAATATAAACTGATGTTGTATGTTATTAAAGGGGTCATACGGTGTCAAAACTTCCCTCACATTTTTTTTAAAAAAAAGGAGTCTGACTTAGTACATAAATACTTCTAAGTTTCGTACACCATCATTCACTCTTCAATCCATACAGTACATACATCAAAAATAAACTGCAAAAATAGATCGTTTTGAACTCTGTTTTTGTGATGTAATGTAAATCAACACATTTACATATATCCGCTTATTCTGCCTTCAACAGTTTAGCTCCACCCGTTCATGTCAAACTTATAAGGAGTGTTTCACGCTGGACTGCTTTTTGAATGAGACATTAAAGAGCAGCCAGTCAGAACAGCGGCCACTTACATATATGAGTCGTAAAGTGCAATGACAAAAATAACCTGTTTAATACTAGAGGATAAAAAGAGGCGACATGTTCAATGGACACACAAAAATGAATTAGGACCATTTTTACTATGTAAAACCTGACAAATTATAAACATCAAAGTAAATGTAAATAAAAACAAAAGAATAAAAAACAAGAAAAACACAGGATGTGGGCCCTTAAAAACCAATTTTCATAGCTGCTTTTTTGTTTGTTTTTTGTGAAATGTGTGTTTCTCAAATAAGACACACTGGACAAATGGGCTCCCATGGACATGGAAGGAGACAAAACCGTGTAAATATACAGGACTAATGCAGCAACGCAATGTGGTCTAACTATTGTGTTATTACTTAGATCGTAGGGTAAAGCATGATTAAGAGAATGCATGCAGTCTTGTAGCTCAGCTAGGACTATTTTACTACTCAGCATTCATTTGATTGTTGGAGGTAGTGACACATTTCTATAGGTCATCACTTTCCAGTTCCTTTCAGGTATATTAAACATAGGTAATTGAAGCTATAAAAAAATCCTAAAAAATAGCTATGAAGCTAAAATAACTTTCGTGCAAAACAAATCTGTTATGCTAAAATTCTTAACTTTATTAATTAATTATTCATATAGATACCAGAGGACATGTTATTGAACTGTACATGTTTGTTGCTGAACAGGAATATATTAAAAAAAGAGTGAATGCAGTTGGATATCCTGAAGAACCCTACACTGTATCTACTTAAGCAGCTTTCAGAAAGAAACTTTCTACTTTCAAGGAAAAAAAGGCATACTAAAATCATTTTAAAAACCGTGAACAGTAACTTGGGGAAAAACACACTGGACTGCCAGTTTAAGAAGTATCTACATAAAATGTACTAATGATTGCACGACAGGACAATTTCTATATTATGTAATTTGTTATTCTATGACATTGTTACGATGCAGACATTTGATGGTCAACCTGTTCAAAATTGTGACTTGACACTGTATCACTGTATCACTGTATTTGAGAGCTTATTGCAAGCTAGGGCACTGACCTCTAAATAAATCAGCGCCCATCACAATCCTTTTTTTACTTCCATTTTACTTCCTAAAACTTCAAGTTGCAATAACAGTGACTCAGCTGACTCGCAGCATTGGTTTGGCTCACAGGCTTTAAAGGAGGAAATCTTCACCCAAGGCATTCACATAACAAAATGACTGCATACGAAAACCATCCGTGCTGAGCCACACCAAGTGAAAGAATGCCACAGATGGTAAGATAACATTTGGGTTTTCCCACATAACTCGCCAGAAAGCTTAGATGCTCAGAAGGAGCATCTGAGCTTTTTGACCAGGTGATGAGATGACACAAACCGGGTCTCACGTAACCGAATTATTTCTAGTAGGTTTGATGGACACCTTATTTCAGATTACTTACAATTTAAAAAATATTCTGGTAGTAAAGTCCTGTGGAATTTTCACAACTTTCCTTTACCATTTTACCCTAATGGTTTGCTAACTAAAAATGTATGTGATACCCTAAATATTCCAGATAATTAAAAGGAGTGTTAAGTCCTCTGCAACACATCTACACAAAGTTTTGCAAAAATCTAAATGTTAGGGATACAGTTCTGGTATCTGACCTAGACATTCAGAATTTGAATACCCATTTTGGTACTGGCATTAGCACATAGAGATAAGTAAATAACAATGAGCCTGTCAACGTTCATCCAGGCTACAACTGTTACATGTCCACTCACAAACATCTACAAGGCTCTCCTCACCAAGACTTTCGAGACTTCCCATTTTATTTATTTAATTATTGATAATTAATAAAAGTGACAAGTTTCTTTCCCCAGACACACTGACATAGCCTTTCTTACATTTTACGAATACTGTACTTTCCCACAAGTGATCTTCTTTGACTTTTTTTTTTTTGCTCAACAGCACCGGATTTTTCTGATTTGATGCAAGTACTTCATGTAGATGTTTAATCAGACAAACGTGTTACATAAGACACAAAAAAGTCTTGAATTAGTCAAAGCACAGACGTGTGTGTCTCATTGGACAAATACACCGATTTGGCCAATACATCAAACTAAATTAAGTTATTGCACTGCAATAGAACAGAACAATTAGGTGATGTTGGGCTCCTGCGTTAGAGTATCTGCATTTTATTCGTTTTACTGCCTTTGTAACCCTACAGACATAAAAGTTCTATTTCTCCTTAATGCTAACACAGCTTAATATAGTCCTGATGTCTTCATTATGTATCTGCATCAGCAGATACGCACATGAAAAATATGGAATATCAGCACTGACCTGCAATTGACCCCTCCTTAAAAATAAAGTTTTAATTAAGAGAACACCCACACTCACCATGTACAGGAGAAAGGGGAAGGCCAAAAGGAATATCCAGAGGTAGAGGTGGAAACAGTTGGAGAAGGTGCTCTGATGTGGGTCAACGTACCAGCCTCCGGTAAGGGAGGCCCACACCCCCTGACGCAATATCTGTAGTGCTTGAGAGCCCATCTTTATCTTTTAGATGAGATGACACAAGCCAGGACTACTTCCACGTAGCTGAAGTCCCTTTCTCAAAGTCTCTGCAGTATCACTTCCATCGGGGACCACTGCTGGACGTTCAACTCATCAAGCAAGGCTATCCAACAATTAGCATTGACTGGGATAAGTGACAGAGTCCTAGTCTGTGCTCCTTCTGTAGAAACGGATATAGTCACATGCTTCTCCAGCAGACCTTGTACAGTGCAGTTCATGAAGGGTTTTTGGCACAATTCCGATACAAGGACTACACGAAAACATTCATGTTGAGCAATCATCAAAACAGCTTGGTTTGGTTTCTTTACAATCCTCCAGCTCTCTTAAGTTACACACTTGAATAAACAGAAAGGTCATTCTGATGACTACCTTCAAAGCAACAAGGAACTGTGAATCTACATATTATAGGCATGATCATTTACACCATACCAGACTGATCCAGAGGGTGTGTCCTAATTTTAATCATCTAACATGGAAAAAGCTACCCTTACTGATGAGCTTGGTTTATCTCGTCACATTAAAAATTCAGTAGATATGCATTTATGCAATTGCAACAGGCCTTAAGAGATTTTAAATGGACAACGTATAAAGGTTTCACCATTCGCTACGACTATTGCTGTGTTCTAGCTACAAATATGGTATACAGCTTCAGACTCCTGAGATGTTACACACCAGCATCTGCCAGGTTTCAGAATAAAGCTGGAAACCTGCTCCATTTGTAAAGATATGTAACGCGGAATACCTAGAGATGCTAAATGGACCGTTTTGATAGAGATCTAAGTGGTTAAGCCAAGTTGCCTTTTTATTTTAATCTGACTGAAGGAGCTTTAAAGACACCTGGTCTAGGCGGAAATAATGTTAGCCACTTTGTCATCACCTTACCTCGGCTAACTCATTGTCAAGGCTAGCTAATACTCAGGACAATATCACTTTTTGATGGTCATTCAGAGTGCGTTAATCATTCATTACGCTGGCCAAATACCATAACAAACCAATACTGTATATCGGTTGACCCAAAGTTAGCCAGCTAGCAAGATAAGTTACAGAATTGAGATGGCCTAACAATTCCAGTTAAAGTAGCTAACAATTTACATTAAAAGCTTAGCTAATTAACGTTAAGTGTCTAACCTATCAACTGAATATTTTTATTTGTTTGCTGAGTGTACATACAATCTATACAATTTATGCTTCAGAACCTCTGACTCTAAGCAGCAACTAAGTTTGCTCGCATAGTGTGCCAGAAAGGAAGCAAGCTAGGTTACCTAACGTTACGCTAGCTTTTAACGGCAGTTGGAAGTTAGTTAGCGTTAGCTAGCTAACTTATCTGATTAGCGACAGCAGGCAAGTTGACACAACAAACAACCAAAACAGCCAAACGGCAAAGCACCAGAACAATCAAATCACAACTCGGCTGCTTGTTTAGCAAAGAAAAATGTTTGGAATATTGTTAGCAAGTCCCTAATCTAGCTAGCTAGCTAATTCTTTCAGAACGGCTCTTTTCAGTAATGCCACTATTAGCTAAATCTCTTGAAATTCACTGGCTATGCAGCACTCTCGCCAGAGAAACTGGGAAAATGATTAGTTCAGTTTCGTAAAACGCTTAATTATTTCTTTAGACGCCTTGCCAGCTCTTCATTAACCAACGTAAGTGAATGAATAACACCCAGGTCTAGACTCGAAAACCACAATTTCGCAAACTAGCTTGCTAAGTAGTCGGCGAGTAAGCAAGCAGTAGCGTACAGTATACTCGGTTATGTTAGCGAGGCCACTTTGCCGTAAACGGAATACATGAATACAGCTCGACAGCCCAGAGATATTAAAACACAATCGTATCTAGCAAGGTCGGAACAAAATAAAAAAACAAAATAAATGGTCAAATTATTCCGCCGTTTTACCGCTTCTCGAAAATCCCCCTATCCAGTTCATGAGCTCGGGTGGCTGCAGTTATTTCCTTGGCTAGCTAGCTCGGCAGCTAGCAGCTCGCTGACTGATCATTGTGTTTTATGGAGCAAGCTAGCTGACCGACTAGCCTGCTAAATCTGTTGAGCTGGCAGCAAGCCACAGAAACTACACAGATATCCACAAAGCTGTGAGTAAATAAAACACGTAAAATATCTGTAGTTATTTATGTGTTCGTCGTTGTAGCCATTTCTGCATGTCCCCTCACGCAGCGTATAATAAATCCTTCCAAATCTCGCCTTTCAACCTGCTAATAACTTCCACTGCCGAATTCGTCCATTCACACAGGTAGCAAACGCCCACTGACAGGAAGGGGACAACGTTGAACGTGATTGGCTGAAGAGCGACTCTGTCACGATGCACACGGCTGCTGATTGGCTGTTTCAGAAAATCCGCCCATACAGTGACCTCTTTCCTCTTGCACACATTTCCTAAACTGCCATTGGTCAGAGCGCCAGTCGGTCTTTAGAACAACCAACGCTACACGACTCACCTGAGGAGGTGAAACATTAAAAATAAACGAATTAAATAAATATACATGATAATCAAATGGCTATTACATCTGTGATTAATTACGCATGGCTAACTTAGATCAGATTGCAAATCGTAAATATTCAGTTCACTTCAGTGATTTTCTAAATTTGTTTTTTACAAATGCAAATAAAAATACGCTCTCTGAAAGCAGGTTCAGAGAAATTCGTGTTTCACCCTCAAATGAGTGAGTCGAGGGCGACAGCGGCAGGAAAAACTTCCTAAGAACATGAGGAAGAAACATTCAGAGAGGAACTCAGACTCAAAAGGGGAACCCACCATCCACTGCGCCGCACCGGATAGTGGAGTTATGATACAAGCAGAATAAACCTTAAAGATTAGACATTCTTAGACCAGGCCCTCTGGTTATACGGTGGAACGCACTGTGAGATAAACAAGCGACTACTGTAAATGTATGTCAATTAAGGAGCTATAACACAACAGGCAAATTCATAGTTTGTGAATTCTAAAGTTTTCCAGAAAATGATTTCTTATATTGGCGTTGTGAAATGTTTCCATTTTCAAACCGTTTGTAGCCGTTAGATCATTTTAATCCTCACATATACGAACTGCAGTTGATTATGCGCGACAGTGTTTTTCCTTTAGTGGACAGCAGATGGCAGTCTCATCATTCACAATTTTATATTATTTTGCACCCAGTTTTACTTTAGCAGAGAAAATGTGTAGTGAGGAGAATTGCCATTATTGTTTTCCGGGTTTGTCAAACGCTAGAGAGCACAAAATCATGGTTTGTAAATGCTTGAACATTTTTTATATAGAATAATCCATTCATTTTCTAAGCACAGAACAACATAAAACATTTTGAGCTCTAGTTATAGGAATTTATAAAGGCGCCTCATGTACGTTCATGACGCAAACCGCTTCACTTCGCTGCTCCACTCATCAACCAATCAACTGTCAGCGGCAGTAATGCTAACCAATCAGCACTCAGTAACAGTAATGCCGTCATACTGCCCAAAACCTGTTTGGTGTAGAAAAAAAGAAACACACAGGGAGGATTTTCTTTGCTTTTTTAGTGAAATACATCGTTGTGTTTACCCCCATTCATTTAGGAGTCGCTCGCGGGCACCCTCTGGTGTGTTGCAGTCATGTTTTTGGTATAACAGGAGAAATAAGAAGTGGCCATTCTCCCCTTAAACTGGCTCTGCAGGCAAAATTTCTTTTCGTAGGATATAGACCTCTGAAGTTGTGTCATTCTCTAGTTCGCATTATGCCCATATTTAGAACTCTGTGCAATTTTTCTATACCTGAAAAAAGGGGGTTTTCAAAAAATCGACTCTATCACACTCAGTGGTATGTAAAACTGTTCAAAACCTGATACAAACAGGCAAGCTAAATAAACGACACAGGCTACTAAGATGCAACTCTTGGTGAGATAGCTTTATGACTATAGGTTACTTTCTGTTTGTTAGCGCCAAGCTTACAACAGTAGTGTACATTTACTTCTTACAGTGGGATTAATACTAGGTAGTACTAGCTGAAACACCTGAGGTTCTTTACTTTCCCTGCTATTTTTTGTAATAATCTTAATTCTTCCAATACTTTAGTAAATATCTTTGGTCAAATGTAAAAACTGTGAAATATAGGAGAACTCTAGAACTCCAGCTGTTCAGAGTGGTTTGATGTGGAACGCTCTATTCTAGAAAAACTCACAGTAGTGGCAATAGGAACCAGACATCTGACGAGCTTAATGCCTGTAAAAGTGATTGCAATAATTGGTTATGAATAACTGTCTGATGTGTGAGACATTGTTTTTTTGAAAAGCTTTTGGCCTAAAACATTTTTATTCACAGTTATGGCAGAGAGACACATGCAAAACAGTACTTATAAAATATATATATTTTTCTGATATATCACTATACATAAAACACCTGTAGGTTCAATGGTGGTTTTGAATAATAAATAAAATGTCTGTATTTGTGTTGTACGTTGGTTCCTATTACCACAAGACATCTGAGTTGGTACCTTTCTCTACAATGAGCCATTTCACATTAAACTGCTCTGAATGACTGATTGTCAATTAATTAATTAATTTAATTAATATATTAGTTGACTATTGTTTATTCAAAATATGCAAAAACTTCAACAGTAAAACATAGTTACTTGTAGTAAACGTTCAAATATTATATCAATTCTTAACATATTCAAAATTTAAATGTCCCCAGTAGGTCTTTTAAACCTACCCATTGCTTGAATTAGACACCTGGAATCCTTTCTTTACTGCAAGTTTATTAAGACCTGATGTCAAGTGTCTATACTGGCTGAACTGCAGCTAGATGTTGGGTGATATGACTGGTGTGGAACTGTGTACAATTGTGTAAAATTGAGGTGTTACCACTGTCCCATACACTGTTGTTAGGGGAAAAGAGTCAGAGCACACATTACATTGCAGTGCATGCTGGGGATGCATTGTGAAACAGGCTAATATTAATAGAATAAAATACTTTTGTGGGCAGAATAGGATTGTCTTCTGGCCTACAGGCCTTGTGTTGGACACATGGGGTTTAATGTGTACTGAAGTTACAATATCCTTTTGTATATCATATAAGGAATAACACAAAACTTGCTGTGCATAAAAATAAGTATATGTAAAATATATATAAGATCATGACGTGAAGACAAATAACTTGAACAAATTAATGAAGCTGGATAAAATGCTACTTATTTTAAACAATTGAAAGCTAAACATTTGAGTTTGTTTACCAGTGCATAGTTGATTGCTCAGTATATGTTTTGAGAAAGGTTAAGAAGGCAAAGTGTTTAGCCTGTTTTTTGGGGATTTCCTGAAATTTGAATCAGGCCTCTGGGTGTACTGTGTTTAATCTTTCTCTTTGAGGTTACGTCAGCATGTTAAAAAACTGTTTCTTTTGTGTGATTTAGTAATTTTTCCAAATTCAAGCTTTTACAACCAAACAACGCAGCACATTCTTCTGAAATGTTGAGGCCCTTATCCTGTCATAGAGAACATTGATTGTCATTTATACTACTTCAATAAATGTTCCAATTTGGTCCAGGGCAATCAATAACAGCATACTTTACATAAGCCTTATGGAATTTACTCCCCCTGTTTTCCAAACTCTCACAGCTCTTTGTCTGAACTCTTTCCAGTTTGTGCAGACCAATGGGTCTACTATTTTTCTCTATAGTCTGTTGGAGTAGTTCTGTGTCTGTTAAAATGTAACAAACAAAATCTACCTATAAAACACATTCAAAGTTGTATCAGTTCATTCATTCATTCATTCATTCATTCATTCATTTATCATGTAAACCTGAACACTCTTCACTTAAAGGAGTTTAGTTAAACAATATTGCCATAAAATATAAGCCTTGTCTGAAGCTCATTAAATATCTTTGGGGAAGCCATATGGAATACTAAAAATCTGAGACTTTCAGTCTTGCCTTAAACCCCAGCTAAACCATGTATGTAGCAGGTTTAAGATAAATCTTGGTTAAACCACAGACACAGCAACATCTAGTGGAAGATTTCTAAATGATATAGATTAATGTAATTTCTAAATGATACAGCAGTTGTGTTTAGTTTAAACTGTAAGTGCTCTTAAAAACATAACTTTCAAGAATACAGCAAAGCAGTTTAAGAACCCACATGATTTATTTAGGTTTTAAACTATGTAAAACACTAAACTGCAGATCTAAGCTACTGACAGTTTAATAACAAATCTAAGTTTGAGTAGAGTAGTTGAAAATTTGAATGAAAAAAGAAAAAATAAAGCTTTTATTTTGGAAATGTAATGTGATATAATTTTTAGTTTTCTCCTTTAATATGCCACCACTTTTTCTTCAAAAAGGTCATCAAGAATTCTGTTAGTCTTCCCTCTCACTTGAAGCAAGAAAACAAAATCACTTATGAAAGCAGTTATTGTGAATGTCTGATAATGCTTAATTCAGCTTGTATGAACAGACGAGCAAGACGCAGCTTTGCTTATTTTGTGTGATAGTGTACAGCTTTTGCTTTTATATTTCATGTCTCAGTACCTTTCATCTGTAAGTCAATTATGTTAAGGAGCTGATCATTTTTTCTCCCTCTTTTCAAATTGATGATTTCCCACACCTATAGTTGCACTAGTTTTAGTATTACCTTTCTGCAAGATTATCTTTGTCATTGTTACCAGCGCTTCCAGTAAGACTAGCAGTCTATGGATGTTTGTCCAGCCTTGGACAGTGACTGCATATGCATCAGCTTTGGAGGCTGCAAACCAGGGGTTTCCATGGTCTGCACATTTTTGTGTTTTCCTTGCATTACCATACCTGACCCAGCATAAGAGAAGCTTGTTAATTAGTGGTAAACAATGTCCTGTCGACCTAAGAAGCAGATACAAAATTCTGCTCTCCTATTGGCTGCGCTGGGCCCGAAGATTTTTGAAGGAGGCTGAAAACCAGTGACCCTCCATTGCTACTTTGGTAAACAGTGCAAGTGGCCAGATGTGACGACAGAGCGACTTTGAGATCAAAATCTTTGTAGCAAAACCTTTATATTTTTATACTTTTAAAGCATTTAAAGCTACACTATATGAGATTTGGGGATTTGGAGACCTCTCTTGTGAAAATGTGTAATTGCACGCAACATGTAGAAGTACATTTTGTAGTGTTGGTTATGTTTTGGACCCCTTCCAAGAGCAGAAGAAACTGATGACTTTGAGTGCACTGAGAGTGTATTCAAAAAGAATTCAGCCAAAATGTGTGAAGGACGAGTCTTTTGAGGATGTGAGTGAATTATCTAC